CAGCCAGTGTGCAGGTGTGTTGCACCAGTCCATCTGTCTTCACCGTTTTTATGGGGCATTCACAGAGGCCTGGGCACATTTGGGAGCCTGAGCTGGAGCTGTGACCTTGCGTTGGCTTGAACCTTGGGCTTGGGTTGGCAGAACCTACGACCCTTGGTCATCGTACTGGCTGGTTTTGTGTGTCAACTTGATACAAGCTAGAGATATCAGAGAGGAAGGAGTCTCATTTAAGTAAGTAGTTGCTGGGCTACCTTCAGGAACTAAGTGTCATTGCCCTCTTGTGTTGTTCTATTTTAAAGCCATCTTTGGTTAATCCAGTTGGCCTAGTTACTCATGTGTTGAGGTAGACTGAGTGGTGGTGGAAACGATGGTATGAGAAAAGGAAAAATAGCTCATGTGGTGACCACCATGAATGACTGGGGAAGACTGATGCTATTCAGTGTTGATAAATGGGAGGTGCCTCCACTGGCTGTATTGTGAAATGGGCTCACAACACCACTGAATGGTTGACAAATATTGATGTTGAAAGTGACAAATGAAACCAACATAGAATACAAAAAAATGGAATGTTTACTTATTCATATATGTATGTGGGTAGGTGGGTGAATGCCACAGCATGCCTGTGGTTAGAGAATAGCTTGCAGTAATTGATTCTCTCCTTCTGTCTTGTGGGTCCCAGAGAGCAAACTCTGATTGTTGTGTTTATATCAAAGAACTTTTACCCACTGCACCATCTCACTGGCCCATAAACAAATTGATTTATTGTCATAACAGCTGAAAAATCCTCTGTAAGGCTGCATCCCAAAGCTTCATCTTGATTATGGAGACATTGCTTCTTCCCATCTTCTGGCCCTGTCTTTATCTGAGTTGACTTCATGTCATTGTGAGGGACGATTGCCCCAATCATCACAATCCAAAACTTGGCACAAAACATTTACATCCCAGAGCAAAAGTTCTCAAGTTTTGTCATGGTTTTGACTCTTCACACATGGCTCATGTGCCTATTCCTGTGGGTATCTTGGAGCCTAGGACAATGACTTAAAAATTGTGGGATCTCAGTGACTAGCAGAGGGATTATACAATGTTGAATAATCCCTGAAAATATGAATGTTATAGCAAGCTGTATGATATGTCTCTGAAAGCATTCAATTTATATTTTAAGAACTATTCAAATATATTTCAAAATTTACTTCCCTTTTCTGCTTTCACAATTAGGTGACCTAGAAAGAATGAGTATGATTGCTAGAATTTTAGAACCTATGCCTGCCTTTGTACCTCTGTGTTATTCAGACAAGCCATCTGGGAAACAAGCAAGAATGTATGCTAATTCTCTAATCTCTGAGCATGGTAAGAGATCTGTTGAGGGAACAAGCAATCTGTTGGCAGCAACAGTTATGATTTTCTCTGAGTCATACCAGGCAAGAGTGGGAGGCAAGAGGAGATACGATAGTAGGGATGATTTGAATGCTGTAGGACTGTGTCATTATGGAGAGAAAGCAGGATGTCAACAAGGCTAAAATTGTTCTCTTACAATTGTGGTAGAATATGAATTATGTACTTTGTAGTCTTTAAACATATGTTGCTGAAAATTCATTTTGTAAAGGAATATAAAATAAGTGTTCCTAAAGGGCATGTAAATTTTTAAAATCAAATCTAAGAGGAAAGGTTTATCTGAAATATTAAGTCATATTTATAATAATGTCATTTACAAACATTTGGTCTTTGAGTTTAATCAAAAAGGGAATTTTCATATATTTGATTTTTAGTATGATAACAGAAAATGTTCATAGTTCCTCTAAAACACATACTATTGTGCTTTAGTGTAATTGTGCCTGCCTTCTAAAGGAAACTTCATTTTCATTGCTTTGTTTCATCTTTTATCTGTTCAAGTGCCAGCTCTACCCAAACAACCTTTCTTACAGTGTAAAAGATGAAAGCAAAAAGATGCAATTACCAATGATGTCATGCAGTTTGAGGCATTTCCAATCATGCCTGTTTGTTCCTTTTGCATAATTTCAAAACTCATTGATGTGGGCCAATTTAAAATGAATTTCCTGAGATTAACATGAGATGTGGGTGCTTTAATTGCTTGGCACATTGTAAGAATCCAGCATTTGAGTTCACTGGTCTTGATATGAAAAGTTGCTGTTAAATATTTAAAGTATTGGAGAGGCCTGCAGTGTCATAAATACCTCTAATGCTCTTTAGAATAACAAGAGAAAAGACTTTCAGATGATCATAGCAGTTTGGGGTATTTTACAAGATGTTAAAGTATTTGAATGCTTGAAATGTAGCATGGTCAGTCTATTATTAAGAGGGGAACAAGTAGCTTTTAGGAATGAATTAAGAGGCTGTATAGGTTTCTAGGTAGAGATTCTGGCCAGCGTTCAGGAATACAGTCTTGCCTATCCACTGACATAGCTGACAGACTGTGTGTGCTGACTAACCAGTCTGTATCTCAGTTTCTACAGCTATACATGGAGGCTAATGGTTTTTGGACATTCATAGAGATGTTGTGGGAACTGAATCCATTCATGTGCATAAAGTACTCAAATAACATTGTATAGACAAATATTTGCTGTTGCAATACTATAAGGTCATTACAATATTTTAGAGATGCGATTTCTCAGATCAGAATTTCTGAGTGAGCATTGGCTTTGTACTAAGTGCAAGGGTCCAGCAGCTTTGAGAACTGCTTGGCTGAGCTTGTGATGCCCTCTCCCCAGGCTGTCTTCTCACTGTCTCTCTTGCCCACCTCAGCACTCAGATGACCATTTCAGTTCTACAACTCAGGCTCTATGATATCTCCTGTTTAAGGTCTGAGGTTTGTCTCTTAAACATCACAAAGCTGCTCTCTCTCCCCTTATACTTGGGACATAAATTGCCCCTCCTCAACCTTCCAATCCTTATTATTTTCATTACCTCTAGGTCATTTCTTTCCCATAGTTTGTCATAACTGCTCTGTGAAATCTCTCTTGCTTTAGAATCCACAAAAGATCATCTCTACTTTACTATAGCTTAGGGGCAGATAAACAAACAACCCCACCCCCCAAGTCCCTGGCATCTCTGTGTCCCAGTCTGTGTCTGTTCCCTGCACTCCATTTGAACTCTGTGTCTCCATTTGTGTGAGTTTACAATTAAGAGGCATGTAAGACATCGCCAATCTGAAAGTGCTTGTTAGAATACATCGGACAGGGAATATTCTAATTAAACTCTAAAATATATCAAGGATTCATACATTTGGTACTCCTTACATATAAAATTATATGTAGCCACATAGAAATACCACATGTGTGGAATTTCATTGCTTTTTGTCTAAGGAAAGATTAAAGGAAGCATTTTGGCTCCTGGAATAGGTAATGCGATTGTGCTTTAGAACACTGTCCTCTAGAATGCACAAATGTGTTATGTTCGTGTGACTGGTCACATAGATCCATTGGAATCTTAACGATCCGTGAGATAAATTGCTCTCATTTTTAGAAGTGCATCTACATTACAAAACAACAAGGCTACCGTGAGGCCGCTGCAGGGCTGTGCTTTTCAAAGCTCTTGAATTGCACACAGCTAAAAGTGGGAACAACATTTCTATTGCATAAACACATGGATTGTAGTGCAAAGAAAGAAGCAGTAGTTATGGAAATGGAGCACAGTTGCCTGAATTTGCTTATTCTAAGGCAACGTTGACATTTTCTAAGAAGTGTTGGCAGTTTAGCTAATCAAATTAGCAAAGGAAATTTAAGTCCTGGAAATGTAACTCTTTGGAAGGATTGGCAGTTTCAAATAATTATTTTTAAAACTTAGGAAGAGTCAAGGAAAATGTAGACATCAACCAAGGAATCAATTAATTTTAAAGTTTATCTTCAACTATTTAGTTTTGGCTGTCACTTAGCAAGTTTTATTTGGAAAATATTGATTTAATTGCTTTTTTATGATGTTGCATAGGTTTTTTTCTTAGATGAAATAGTAAGTTTCAGTAAGCTAAAAAATAACTATTTTTCATATTTTTATAAAATAATTTGTATTAATGTGTTAAGACGTAAAACTTTGATACATGTTAAAAATGTTTACGTTAAGTTGTTGATTTATCTTCCTTTTGGTGAAAGTGTTCAAAACTCTAGCTTTTTAATTTAAATAATATTCTTATTGTCTGGTCATTTTATACAATGTATTTTGATTATTCGTGCTCCTCAATTCCTCCTCCCTTCTCTAACCTCATCTCCATACCCACCAACTTCCAGTTTTCTTCCTTATTGTTTTCCACTGTGTGTTATTCTTCTGCTCTTGGGAGTGGGGCTTGCCCTGGGGTATGGTTGACCCCCAAGGAGTTATATCATTGAAGAAAACAGACTTTCCTCTAGTCAGCAGTTAGTAAATGTTATTAGCTCCTGACTTACATACAAAATTTCATGCTGAACCCTGTGCCTCCATGCCGGGATTTTGTCTGACTAGAGTTTGAGCAGGTCTTATGAACATTTAGAGTTCATAATTACAGTCTTGTGTCTGGAAAAACAACATGTGCTTGAATTTACCCACTGCTTCTGACTGTTGGCTCCTAAACAATCTTTCCTTCCTCTCTTTCCCAATAATGATCTGTGGACCTTGTGTGGAGGGGTGTGATATGAAGGTGCCATTTAGGGCTGAGTACTCCACAATCTCTACAGGTTGACCAATTGTCATCTACTGCAAGAGGAAGCCTTCTCTGATGAAGGTTGGGAGATACACTGATGGATATAGGGATAAGTCATTTGGGGTCATTTAAACAAACATTATTTTGATATAGAAGATAAACACAAAGGTAGTTTTAAATAGTAAAAGGAAAAACACAACAAATTATGATTTTTTAGCTCCTATCATCACACATTCAAGTTGGATATCTTAATAGTTGATGTATTTATGTCTGTCTTAATTGCTTATTTTCTTAATCTTTGTAACACTGAGAACAAAATATAACGAGAATATACCATTTAGCTTTATGACTTTGTTTCTTGTTTTCTCTAGGGATGATCTCTTCATTTTTATTAGTAATCCTGTCAGCTTTGCTTATCAATTTTGCATTTGGAGAAACAGAAATAAGGTTTGCAGGACAAACAGAATTGTTTGTTAATGAAACAAGTACCACAGTTATTCGTCTTGTCATTGAGAGAATAGGAGATCCAACAAACGTTACTGCCATCGTGTCGGTAAGAAAGGGCTGAAGCCCTAGTTTTTAAAAGTGAAATGCATGTGACAACTTTTAGCCTCAGCAGGAACAAAGCTTTTAACTGTTTGAGGTTATGAGTCTGAGTTGCATTATGATAAATGATCTGGAGAATGAGCTGTTATATCTAAGTCTGTTAGAGGTTGTCATGGACATCTGACAGGTATATTTTAAAGGTAAAGGATAATTATGTTAAATCATTTATATGTTTATTTTAAGACAAAACTATTTTTTTGGGTAATTTGAATCATAGCATCTTTCTTCAGTCATTTATTGTAAGGTAACTTAGATAAAAAATATATGCAATATTTAAGAGACACAAGTGACAGAAAAAAGAAACCCTGAGTTCAGTTATAGAGTCATTGTTGTTGAGAAATGAAATATGTTAACTTAATTAAAAGGTAAGTAGATTATGTAAGTTATTTATTATGTAAAGTCTGTTAGGATTGGATGTTTAATGTTATATCTATTTTTACCCAGAAAGCAATGTCATATGATCAATATATTGCTATATTAGAGGCTCAGTGTACTTCAAACTTTGGAGCCAAAAATAATGTGTGTGTGTTTGTTGCATGTTTATGATTGTATGCATGTGTATGTATGTGCATATGGGTGCCAACATTAACTTTTGTCTGTATAGGCCATATCAGTGTCACATGTCTTCTTCTATATCACTCTTGCCTTATTTTTAAATAGAGGGTCTCTTACTGAACCTTCCACTTATGGATCGGATGAGTGGCTGGTTGGGCATCACCAGGGATCTTTGGTACCCATCCCTCCCACAGCACTAGGGTTATAGATGAGAGGACTGCTACCCTGGACTTTTTACCTGATGCTGAACTGAAATCTGCATGCATGCAGGGCAGGCAGTTTATCAACTATTCATCTCCCAGCTCTTCCAAAGTGATTCTCTAAGCAATAATTATGTATACTTATAAAACAAACCCAAAGTTATAATTCTGTGCATTTTAGTTTCTGTTCAACTTGACATATATGTATACATTTATTGACTTTGTTTCTAGTTCTAGTGTACATTGTATTTGACAGTCTTTTGATGTAATTTACCTTTTTCAGGTTACTGGATTTTGGGTTTCTTGGTATTTCATTATATTCTAAACTTTTCCCCATTGATGTTGCCTTCAGGTTTTGCTATCAATAGGGAATGTCATTCTGAAGAATTGTTTATATACATGACTGTTTGTCTGCATTTGGGGTTAATTTTTCAGAGTAGATTAATACATGCCCAGTGCCTCTTGATAATACTTTCTGAAAGATTGCCATTTCCACAGAAAGTTATAAGAACCACTTTCCCAGCACCCTCTCCACACTTTCCAACTTATTTTGATTTCTCAACTATCTAAAACATTGTTTTATAAATTAGAACTAGAGAAGGACTAAATTTCCCTGAATATGTTCTCATTTGTGTTAAATAATTTTCTTTCCCTAGGGGCTAAAAGTATTAATTTTGAGCTCTGGTGAAGGGAATGTCATTTGATTTTGCACAATGAATTATTCCTTTATAATACTGTAATTATCACTCTGAGAAGAGTCTTACTAGCATGTTGCATCCACAGATTAAGATCTTAGGAGGGTTTATAATGACTAAAACTCTGAGATTCTAAAAAATTGGGTCTCTACTTCAGTTGCTGTGGATAATGTAAGCACAATTTCAGCCTGAAAGTTTTGGAATAGGTCCTCCCCGCCCCATTGGGAAAATAGTAGCACTGCCTAAATTTTACAAGCTGCTTCCCACATCTCCTTTCTAAGAGTTTTAGCCTTAATTTGTCATGCTAGGCTGTAGTCTATACCAATCAGTTAAGAGACAGAGGGAAAAATTAGCATTACTTTTCTATGAAATTATTAATTTTTTTGTGCAATTAACTTTGATTCCACTACATTAAGAACGATTTTATATGTAATGATATATTTCTATGATTTTCCCTTTTTAAAATATGTTTTATTTTTTTATGTGTGTCTATGGACACACAGGTAGAGGTCGGAGAACAAGTTGCAGAAGTTAATGTCTCTTTCTACCATGTGAGTTGGGAGTAGACCCTAGGTCATCAGGCTTGGCTGCAAGCATATTCATCCGTGAGCCATCTTACCGGCTGTGTAAACATTTTCAGAATTAAGTCATACCTATCGCTGAAAATTTGCTTTGAATACCTTATTATAAATATCGATGCCACTTGATCTATGCCTTTCCTTTTTATTGCTCCCTTGAGTGTCAGCTTTGCTCGTCTACTTCTTGTTAAGTGAAGATGTTCTGTTTTGCACTTGGTAGCTGAATGGAAAAGACACTGGTGACTTTTTTGATACATATGCTGCGGCTTTTATCCCTGCTGGAGGAACAAACAGGACTGTGTACATAGCAGTGTGTGATGATGACCTTCCAGAGCCTGATGAAACTTTCACTTTTCACTTGACATTACAGGTAAGTTCATTCTCCTTAATTTGAGTTCATAAAACATCTCCTAACACTTGAAAATCTACTGAATTAGTCATAATCCACGGGTTATATATCTTGGTGGTTTTCATAGATCTCTTTGACAGATGTACAGCATTGTGGGTGATGGTTTGTTTATAGGAGCATGTTCTCCTTGCCAGTGGACACACCACTGAAGAAAAACTCTACCTCCCTCAAAGCTGTTAACTGCCTATAGATTTTCAGAGAGGGGTGGTTTACTCATGCTCTTAGTAATTGAAGAAAGAAATTCTGCCAAGAGATTATTTTTCTTCTAATAATTAATTAATAATTTGTTTATTTTCACTTTAGAAACCCTCAGCAAATGTGAAACTTGGATGGCCAAGGACTGCTACTGTGACAATATTGTCAAATGACAATGCATTTGGAATTATTTCCTTTAGTACGGTATGGTTACAGTGTGAAGGTTGTTGTGGTTGCAAGATGCTACTACATTCAGTTTTTTTTTTTTTTTAACCAGTTTTTCTTGATGTTGGCTCATGCTATTCTGTAGTGATTTTTGAGTAAGTCTGATGCTAACGCTGTAGCTACTCTGTGTTCTATGTATTTATACTGTTGTACATTGAGGTGTTCGTGCTCAGGGTCCACACTTATAATATCCCTTTCTAACCATTGACTTGCCATCTGTTGCCTGGCCTCTTGTGTGGAAGCCTCTTGGGCTTGCTTTATTTATTTATTTATTTATTTACTTATTTATTTATTTATTTTCAAATGCCATTTAGGAAGTCTGGTCTGTTTTCCAGGCTCTTCTGTATGTTTGGAGTGACTTTGAAGGGAGAAAACTTACCATAAACTGAAGGTTACCCTGCAGATGTGGTAGTTCTTCCAGTTGAATTCTCATATCAATTCATATTCTCTTTTATTGAATATTCTCATATTCAATTCTCATATCAATTTATATTCTTTTAAATAAACATCCTAATATTCAATTATCTTATAAATTAAAACTTTGTCTCATCTTCTGAAATTCTGTTCAGTTTGCTTCCCTCCTTCATCAAGTTCTTGTTCTTCTAGCCCATCCCATTTTGCCGGGGTTCATTTTTAGAAACAAAAACACAAGACAAGTCTCTCCTAGAGAGAGAATGTTTCCAGCTCCCAAGCTAAAATTAAAGGTTGTCTTCCACACAGCTGGATTTGGATACCAAGTTAGAGGCTATAATAATCTTCCTGATAGTCTTTGAATTCTGTTGCTTAGCAACATTGAAAAATCTGATACCACAGTCTCTAGCTTTTTATTCATTTTCCATCTCGAACACTCCTGCACTTGTCTGCATTATGTCACAGCTCTGTAAAGTTGTCTTTGAAACAAGGCAAGCTGTAGATAAATGTGGTCTTTATGCTTCAGTTATCTTTATTAAAAGGGGAGGTTTTTCTAACCTAAATTTAGTAGATATTGGGTAGTCTACAATGTGTTGTCATTCATAAATGTTAATTACATTAATTAGGAATTCTCAAGTGAAGGGATTATTATTCGACAATTTCTTCTGTATAATTCCTTCACACCTTTATACCTACCTCTGAGCCTCATACTGATTTGTTTAAAAGTTGCTTCTCTTTTCTTTTTCTTCCTCTCTCCTTTCTGTCCTCTCTCTCTTCTCTCCTTATGCTGTGGAAATGAGTACGTGTCTCTGGGGTTGGTTGCAGTGCCACTAGGCCCCTCTGACAGACTCCATATGAGCTCCATGTCATAGAAGGCACTTGAGGCTGCTTTTGTCTCTAGCCTTTTAACAATTATATTGATAGTGAACATGGCCTTGGTACAGTGTTAACAGCCAATAGTTATTGAGCACTCAGCATGTGCCAGGAAATAGGAAAAACTTTTGATGCAAATTATGTCATTGAATCTAATCACAAACCTTTGAGACAGGTATTCCTAGCCCCATTAGTTGTCCACTGCTGCCCTAGTACATGTATGCACTCAGAGCTTCCTTGTTCCTCATCTACTTTGTGTTTCAGCCAATCCAAGACACCGTGTTTCAGCATTTGAAGTCCTCCCCATTTTTCCTGATAGTCATTTTTTTCTAGTTCTGAAAGTCATCAACAACTGTCTGTATTTCAGTGAAATTCTGACTAATTATGAGGCAGGACTGCTTGAGAACAGTGGCCCCAGTGAGTCATTAGCTTGGTCTTAGGACGTAACTTGTTTTTGTGACCTCCTGGGCTCTGTAAGCATTTTAATTTATCACCCTTTAGCTGGGTAGCCTTTAAGATTCCTCAAAACAGACACTAGTAGGGCCAGAAAAACCTGCTCATTGCATGCTTTGTTTTCTCTTCACACCGCTCTTCTAAATTCATCATTCTTTTGTCATCTACAGTTTATTGATGCTAGAAACACACACTTTAGGAGTACAATCTGAATTGATTTGCAGTAGAATTTAGCCTTTCTGAGGTAGTAGTTTTACCATAGGAGTACAATCTGAATTGATTTGCAGTAGAATTTAGCCTTTCTGAGGTTTTTGTTTTACCCCCTCCTGCCTCTCTCTGACTGATCAATGGCTGATTGTCTTTGCTCTTCCCAATAGCCTTCATCAATCTCAGTGACTGAGCCAAGGAGCAGAAATGAATCTGTGCCTCTTACTCTCATCAGGGAGAAGGGGACCTATGGAATGGTCACTGTGACTTTTGATGTAAGTCTACTTGAAATAATGTTAGATGGTAACATGTTAGGGTTCGTATCAGATGATTGCAACTTAAAAAACCAGTATAGTAAATATCACACTTATTAAAATTAGTTAAGTACAAATACTTTTCATGGTTAATAGAAAAGTGTTTTCCTTGCTGCTTGCACATATTAAGTATATATGAAACTTACCCCCTTCCTCTCCATTTCTCCAAGCCTTCCTATGCACCCCCTTGCTCTCTTTCAAATTTGTGTCCCTCTAGTTTTTTAACTATTGCTGAATATATGTGTCTTTTTGTTTAACCAATTACAGGCAAAAGTTGTAGAATCTTTTGTATTGCTATATTCTCTGTGCCTTACACTGGAATTGCTGAAATTGGAAGCTATCCTCTCCTCCCAGCACTCAGCCTCCCTCATGATCTTCTTCAGTTTTTCTCTACAATACCCTTCCCCATGCTGCATGTGCATATTAATTTACTTGTCATTTGTTGTTGTCTGTTAATTGTAAGTCCCATACAGGGGGAGCTTGTGTTACAGCTTTTATATTTAGGAGTTAACGGATAAGGCACATGCTTCTCAATAAACACTTCAGTGAATGAGGTTATACATTCTCACCTCCCTACTACAAAGTAGAATCTCTCTTGCTCACTTTAAAGAGGAGGGAAATGCTTCACAGAGTTGTTAAGCAGCTTGCCCAAGTTCACACAGCCCGTGATGGAGCTGGAAGTAGACCCCATTTCTTCAGGGAATTTACTCATCTTCAACATCCTTCTCAAGAAATGCCTTTCTACAGTTTTCCCCTCAGGTTTAACATAACAGTTAGAAAAAAACCCAAATCTTAGAAAAGACAGTTTACTATAATCATAGTTAAAGTTTGTAATTCATTAGAAAGGCAGTCTCTCATGCAAGCTCATGTATGTTATGTAAACTATCTTTAAACTTCAGAATTTTGCCAGCTGACATGACAGAAGTGCTTTCTTTGTTTTTAGATGTTTTGTTTAACTGGTGCATTATGTATGTCTTTCCAGGTATCAGGTGGTCCAAATCCCCCTGAAGAAGATTTGAATCCAGTTAGAGGAAATATCACCTTCCCACCAGGCAGGGCCACCGTAATTCACAACTGGACAGTACTTGATGATGAGGTCTGGTAGTGTTAAATTTGTAGAATAATAGACAGGGTCTGTGACAGAAACTTGTAAATAGCAATTTTTCTAATGTTAAATCATATTCATTATTTGAAATTAATCAGGAGTGCAGTCTTTTGGCAAGTTAATGTGTTGTACCCGTTCATAATTTAGCCATGAGTAGCAAGCTGTTATTTGGGGATGCAGCTTGCAAATATTTACCTGATTTATTTCATATTGATTTCTGCTTATAGGGCTGTACTTGTGGGGAGGCACTTGCCTACCATGTGAAAATCCCTGGCTTCTATTCCAGTGTCTCAAAGTGAACTTGAATATTAATTGACAACTAAACTTATTATAAAGATTGAAGAATTTTGTAATATCTGCTTATTATCCTTATAATCATGCATTATTTTAACAGGAACATGGATGCTTAGCAACTGTGTTTTAGTAGAAGTTCAGGAAAAGTTCTACTGCAATTAGTGCTTTTGTTTAGGTTAAAATATTTATTTATGTGTGTGCATGCCCTATACACATATTTCTGGGAATCGGTCCCAGGTTACCAGCCTTAATGGCATCTTTAACTGATGAACCATCTTGATGACTTCTATCTCTAGATATTTTTGGTTTCACTGTCATAGAAAAGATCTTATAGTAACATTTACATTTCATGTGTAGTCCACTGAGGATTTAGACATATGCCATAGCTCAATTGCAGAGGCAACCCCAAATCTGACTAGTAGTGCACAAAGAGCTAGTAAGAAAAATCTTGCAAAGGAATCCTGGTATTGCTAAAGAAGCAAAGATGGAAAAAAATAGATAGAAATGATAGAAATATGTAACTTCCTACAAAAATTCTGTAACCAAATACAAACAATACTTAATAAAGAAAATGCATTATAAACTTAAGTAGCTTTCTCTGGAAAGAAACTAAGGTAGATTTCTCTAGAAAGACCTGAAACATTTGGTGGCATTATGACCTTTGTTTTTCTAGGTCAGGAGATCAACCAAAGCTTTTTCCTCTGCAATGCCAGGGCAATAGTAGGTTATGATCTGTGCACCAGGAATTAATTACTGATCTTGTAAATTTAAAAGATTTAATAGTGCATTTTGGGAGAAGTGTCTTCATGTTGTTATATTGCTAGTGGTAGAGGTAAAAAGATGTGGGTTTTCTCTCTTATTCATAAAATAGAATTTGCAGTGAATGCAAAGCTTGAACAGCAAGGCACATTGGAGAGTAACTCTGGGATTACTGTAAGCTATAAAAACTATCCTCTTGAGTAATGTTAGTATTTTGTCAAGAAATGACTCTTCTTAGCCGTTTTCCTGAGAGGCATGGTGTTCTAATATCACAGAATTGACTCCAGAATTAGAAACCATATGGAGAAATGCAAGAGAAATTCATATGTTGAAATTAAGCAACTATTTGATATTTAATATACTTTCCAGATCCTAGGATATTGTTAGACTTTGAATACTCTTTATGACCCTACTAATGATCCAAAATTGACAAGGATTTATTCCCGTTTGTACTATGTGTATTTTATAGTTTTCTAGGTTCAAAGAAACAAATACACATTACTAATTCTTCATACCATTGTTTTATTACGTTTTTTTGTTGCTTTTTTACTTTCCATCCTAACTGAAAATAAATTAACATTTGGAAGACATTTTATTGTGTGGAATCTAAATGAGCCTCTTATCATTGTTTTCCTTATCACCTTTTAAAAACTGTTTTCACGTATTTTGGCTAAAGATGTTTTGTTTGTGTCCTATATCAGGTGCCAGAAAATGATGAAATATTTTTGATTCAACTGAAAAGTGTAGAAGGAGGAGCAGAGATTAATGCCTCTAGGAGTTTGGTTGAAATCATTGTGAGGAGAAATGACAGTCCTGTGAAATTCCTCCAGAGTGTGTACTTGATTCCTGAGGATGACCACATAGTCACCATCCCCGTGCTTCGTGGAAAGGATGACGATGGAAACCTGATTGGATCTGATGAGCCCGAAGTTTCAGTCAGATACAAAGTTATGACTGGGAATTCAACAACACATGCCCAGCAAAATGTAGACTTCATTGATCTTCAGCCAAACACCACTCTTATCTTTCCCCCTTTCATTCATGAATCACACTTAAAATTTCAAATAATCGATGACACCATACCAGAGATAGCTGAATCATTTCACATCATGTTACTAAAGAACACCTTGCAGGGAGATGCGGTGCTAATGGGTCCTTCTACTGTACAGGTCACCATTAAGCCAAATGACAAACCTTATGGGGTTCTTTCATTCAACAGTATTTTGTTTGAAAGGCCGGTTATAATCGATGAAGATAAGGCATCCAGGTATATTTACTTTAAACTCACAATCATAATTACTTTGTTGTACTGTGACATGATTTAATTTTTATGGTGTTGATTACATGCTGTTAGAACATGTGCCATCTCCTCTGTAACTGCTTTACTGATTTCTTTTTGAATGTGATTTAATTACTAAAATGAATTCATATATAAGTTCTTAGGCTATATCCATGTGTATGTATTTTTCATATTAAAACTTATCTTTTTTTTGTGTTGGTCTCTGCTTTTTTAGAATGTGTGATATAACCTTATGTGTTCTAAATATTCTAGATTTGAAGAAATCACAGTGGTCAGAAATGGTGGCACCCATGGAGATGTTTCTGTCAATTGGGTGTTGACACGGAACAGCACTGATCCTTCCCCTGTGACAGCCGACATCAGCCCTAGTTCTGGGACTCTCCAGTTTACACAAGGGCAGATGTTGGCATCAATTCCTCTCACTGTCATTGATGATGATCTTCCGGAAGAGGCTGAAGTATACCTCCTTAAAATCCTGTCTCACACTACACAAGGAGGTGCTGAAGTGAGCGAGCCAGCACAGGTAGAGCTTTTGTCATGTATCACTCCTGCAATATTCCTGTGATACAAAAGAGCTAAGGACTTTAAGCAGACAGATCCAATTTATGTTTAGTTCTGTGTGGCAGGAAGAATGCTGGTTTTGCAAAAGTGGTGCTTACTTCTCTTCCTCAACTGAATGTCTTCAGAAAAAAATAAAACAAAAACAACAAATACAACAAAACCCCCAAATAAGCAAGCACCCTCAAACTGTGTTTCTTGGTGTTGGGGTGGAACCCAAGACTTGCGTGATTCTCCACTAGCCAAAGCTGCTACCATTATCTTTATCCCAGACTCAATATTTTATCATTTAAAACATTCCACAACTGCTAGTTTCTGAAAAGTTTCCAAACTGTTTTTGATTCTTTTAATCTTATTCATACACAAAGTGACCATTTAGGATCTGAGTAGCCTGGATCATCCAGTTGTGTAACTCTGCACTTTACCATTCTCTTTCATTTGTAGCTTCTCCTCTACATTCAGGATAGTGACAATGTTTATGGAGAAATAACCTTTTTTCCCATGGAAAGCCAGAAGATTGAGAGCAGCCCCAGCGAACGATGCTTATCCTTGAGTTTTTCGAGACAAGGAGGTACTAAAGGAGACGTGAAGGTGATTTATTCTGTACTCTATATTCCTGCTGGAGCTGTGGACCCCCTTCGAGCAAAAGATGGCATCTTAAATACATCCAGGAGAGGCAGCCTCCTTTTCCCAGAACATAACAATGAAGTCACTACAAAATTACCCATAAGAAATGACGCGTTCCTTCAGAATGAGGCCCACTTCCTAGTGCAGGTACTTTAATGGTTAAAATAATCTCGTTTGGTTAAACTACAACTGTAGTTGTCTATGTTAAAAAGCTAACAGTTATTTTGCTTTTATTTATAATTTCAACTCCATTTGTTATTTGAAACTACTTAGGACTGGCATAGTGGTACACACCTATAATCCCAGCTCTAGGGAGAATAAGGCAAGAGGAAATAAGTGGGAGACCAGCTTGGTTACGTACTGAGACCTGGAAAATAAGCAAAGAAGTAAAAAGACAAAAACTTCCGGTAGAGCCCCTCCTATTCATCACATCTGAGTAAGGGAAGGGTTCTGCTGAAATACATATTTCAACCAGACAGTACTAAGGACACACCAGTTATGAAAGGCAAAGGAGGCTGTAGTTCACATGGTAACTGAACAGGCTGGTGAGCAGGGCGTAGGAGACAGATTCACCATAGCTTTGGCTTGGTTTGGAAAATATGGCACCAGAATAGCATGTGCGGAATAAAGAGAAGCTTACAATAAACTTTAGCTTCAGAAACTAAAAGCAATCTGAAAAGCTTTTCTTCTTCTAAAAGGTACATCAGAACATGTGTTCATTAAGTACAGGTCAGTTCTCTGGCCCTCCTGCAGTTAGGAGCCCTGCATCACACTCTTCCATTATACCACTCTTCGTTTCCAACTTCTATCTGCCAAGCACATTATTTTTTATGTTAAAGTTTCAAATGACTGCACTCATTTCAGATGGATGACATCTCTGTATTACACACATCTGATAGTGACTGGATCTTTAGTTAGAAAACCGTGAAGGTTGTTTGTCAAATTCGGATACAAATAAATTTAATACAGAAATAGATAAGGAGAATAGATTCATAAAGTTAAAATCATATCTCAAGTTGAGCATAGAGGTGCACACCCTTAATCCTAGCATGTGGGAGGCAGAAGCAGGCAGATAAGTTTGAGGAGAGTCCAGTCTGCATAGCAAGTTCCAGCTAGCCAGGGCTACAGGGTGAGACCTTGGTTCAAAAACAGACAAACAAACAAACAAACAACAAGAAAAAAGAAATCTCACCACCCATTGTGCCCTTCCCAGTGTATACCAGATGTAACAACATTTTCCCTTACTTTCTGTGTATCACACTGTTGAATTCTGCGGCGTTTGTACCTAGGCTTTATTTCATGGGTTATCATGGCCTCTCTGGAGGTTCTGATCATCCTTCCTCACTCTTATAGGAGATCTTCCATCAGCCTCACCACATTGTTGAAAGTTCTATATCGGGCTGGGTGTTGGTGGCACACTCCTTTAATCTCAGCACTCAGGAACCAGAGGCAGGCGGATCTCTGTTAGTTCGAGGCCAGCCTGGTCTCCAGAGCGAGTGCCAGGATAGGCTCCAAAGCTACACAGAGAAATCCTGTCTCAAAAAAAGAGAGAGAAAGTTCTATATCAGTAACCTTGATACTAAATTATTAATATTTTCAAAATACCCAATAGCTTTTTAAAGTAGCTACAGGTAACTTCCATGTAGACAGGGCCTCACTAAGACTTTCTGAGGATCAGCTATTATTCTAGCTATTTTATCTCCACATTCCACTGAAATGTGACAGGATTTTTTTTTTTTTATTTTTTATTTATTTTTTATTTTTTTTCTCTCTTTTTATTATTATTAATTCAAGTTAGGGAACAGGCTTGTTTCACATGTAATTCCCCTCTCCCTCTCCCTCTTCCTCCCCTTACCCCCATGCCTTCTCCCCTCCCTCCAACCTACCCCCCACCCCATCCACCCACCACTCCCCAGGCAGGGTAGGGCCCCCAACCGGGGCTCCACCAAGTCCACCAAATCTTCCTGTGCTGGGCCTGGGTCCCTCCCCATGTGTTCAGAGACAGAGTGCCTCCCTTCACGTGGGATGGGCTCTCGAAGTCCCCCACATACACCAGGGCAAAAAGCCAGTCCACCTCCGGAGGCTCCCAGGAGTGCAGGGGCCTCCCCGATGGCATCCATGATCAGGGGGCTGGATTAGTCCCGTGGATTTGTTTTTTTTTATAATACTTGAAAACTAAGGAAAAACTTGAGGTATGATGACTAATTTTTGGTGACCTTTGGTTAGGAAATTTTTGCACTACTAACTCCAAACCCAGTTCTTTCTATAGCTTTGTGTACAATCATGAAACAGAAGCCAGAAGGTATAGACAGTTAGCAGGGCACTTGTTTAGGGGAAAGGCTGTGATCAGTTGTTGATAGAGTTCCTTGCAATTAAAACAGCTGTAGGCTCAGGAAACCTGAAGAAAATAAAAAAGTGTGTAGTTTGCATAGAAGATGATGGAAGAAGAGAGTACTGTGGTGGTTTGAAAGAAAATGGCCTCCAAAGAAAATGGCCCCAATGACAGTGGCGCTATTAGGAGGTGCGGCTTTATTGAAGTAGGTAAGGCCTTGTTGGAGGAAGTGTGTCACTGTGGGGCAGGCTTTGAGGTCTCTTTGGCTCAAGCTTTTCTCAGTGTGACACCCAGACCACTTCCTGTTGCTTAGAAGATACAGAACTCTTAGCTCCTTCTATATAGTACTATGTCTGCCAGTGTGTCACCATGTCCCACCATGACGATAATGGATGAAACCTCTGAACTGTAAGTGAGCCACCACAATTAAGTGTTTTCTTTATAACAGTTGCCGTGGTCATGGTATCTCTTCACAGCAATAGAAACCCTAACTAAGACAAGTGTGCAGCAGTGCACTGCATGGAAAGCTGAGTGGATCTGCAGGGAGGAGGATGAGAAGCATGCTCTCCCCATTCTTTGAGCCCTTCAGCCAACACCATTAGGAAGGCATGTACTTTCAGTAGTAGATACGTGAAGGCAAAGAATGGCCCCTTATGAATGCAGGGAACACCTTCATTTTGCAGATGATTAAGGAGCCAGAGCAGCAAAGGCAAGACACTAAAATTAGCACTTCTTATTTGATCAGTTCATTGAATGACCTTTTTCTGTCATCTTTTGTGTCATTCCTTTGTAGTTTTCAAAAGTACAAGCACTAGAATTAATTGTATGACCTTCTGATAAAAGTAGCTAAAATTACTTACTACTTATTTGTAGAAAGTTTTGAGTAAAAAATATTGATTTTTTTCTTCCTTAGATGCTTTTAAACCAGTGGTTCTCAACCTTCCAAATGCTGCAACACTTTGATACAGTTCCTCATGTTGTGGTGCTCCCCAATCATAGAATTATTTCATTGCTGTTTCATAACTGGACTTTAACAACTGTTTTGAATTGTAATGAAATATTTTTGTAGATAGAAATTTGCTAAAGGGCCTGTGGTCTATGGGTTGAGAACCACTGCTTTAGACACTTGTAGCAGCTTAGAGATCTGTGAATAGCTGGGAATGAATGTGTACTCACTTACACACAACCAGCTGATTTCAGATACATCTTTTTCACTAACCAATGCAGCCTCTTATTTTAACAGTTCATTCAGATGTACCTATGTTATTATTATTATTTTTTGGTGCTATCTTCTAAGAATATAGGCATATGTGACTGTGTACATGTGTTCATTTTCTCTGGGAATAAAAGTTATATACAAATGGTTTTAACTACATATTTTCTTTACAATTTATTTATTTTGTAAACTCAATGTAGTTTACTAAAAAAATCAAACTTTTGCTTGGTTTAGTTTGTACATCAGTACCAGACAGAATTTGCAATCTAATTTCTTTTTATTTTTCTACAAATGGGTACTTACTAAATGCAGACTTCTTCATGTCTTTCTCTTGTACATAATTTTCAACAAAAGTATGACATTTAAATGAGGCATTTACAGTGGCCCTTTGGAATGTATGTTGATTGTCATAAAGTATTCTATTCATGGGAGAACTGTCCAGTCCTGCCCATTTCTGGAAAACCCACACATCTCCACTCTGGTTTCTTAGTGGCATCATGTCAGCATTTCAAAGCTTGGCAGAGGAGATTTGAAATGCTTCATGAAGCTCAAACTCTCCTGTGAACCTAAAAGCTCTGGTCTTTTATAGTCCTTTTATAGTCCTAACTTCACTGAACAGTATGATTATTATAGTTCCATATGTAAGCTGTGAAAAGTTGCAGTGCATCAGTGTCCCCTGTAGAGCTCTCTGTCCTGGAGGGATGAATTATAAATGCTTATTGCATAGCATTATTCACAGGGATAGTGAATTATAATGACTTGGAGTTTGAGAGATTCAGATACCATTCAAGAGGTAGGATGAATTCACAAAGTAAAGAACCAAATCCCACACAGAAATCATACCTGTGAATCAGAAGAGACTAGACTCTGGCAGTCACTTCAGGATCTGTAAGAGGGATGGTGCAGGGGCAAGTTTTTAACGTCTGAGTTACTGGTGACTCGTGATTATATCTACTTAGACATTTTATGCTGGTGATTATTTTCTTAATTTCATAGATAACTTATTAACTATCCTGTCCCTTCTTGATTTTGTTTGTATTTTATAGTTGGAAGCTGTGGTATTGGTAAACATATTTCCCCCAATCCCACCAGTAAGTCCCAGATTTGGGAAAATCAGAAATGTTTCTTTATTGGTTACCCCAGCCATTGCAAATGGAGAAATTGGCTTTCTTAGCAATCTTCCAATCATTTTGCATGAACCCAAAGGTTCTGCTGCTGAGGTGGTGAGTATGCATTTTCTTATTGATGTGTCCTAATGTGACTGAGAAATGTAAAGACTTTTTAAATATAGGGCTAATGTGTAGAGTTAATAGGATATATGCTATTTAGAATAAACAACTGGTGAGTGCCTGGTTGCTATTCTTGAGAGTTTGTGTTTATATATACTTATATATATATACATGCATAAATATGTATGTAACAAATCTAGTCATAGAGAAAGCGGCTATCAACTTGAGATTGGTGGTGGCATGGTAGGGTTCCTAGGAAGACTAGCTTCGAGTGGGTGGAGGGAGAAAATGGAGGAAGGGAAGTGATGCAACGCTATTTCAATTACTAAACTTAAAGAAAAAAATAAAGTTAATTGCTCATGGTTAGAGTAGATGGTTTAAAAGTGATTGGTTTTACACAGTGTCATGATATTTGAGACCAATTATGAATCTGGTTTTTAGTGTTTGTATTGTAGAAACACAAGTAATCTTTGGCTTTGTCCTCTGATCACTCTGTATGCTGCCTGAGGTAGAACTGAGGACTCAGAGGTAGCTCTGAGTCCAGTGGTTGATACCAATTATGATGGTGGTAAAGTTGTGAAGTGCGGAGCCTTGTCAAACACACACACACACACACACACACACACACACACACACACACACACAAAAGCATATTCATACTGCCCTCCTTTTTTCCCCAAGCATACATTGCCATAGATTAATAGTCTTCACTAAGTGTCCTATTTAGGAATACCTCCATATTGCTGTATCACCATCTTTTAGAGACCAAGTACCTCTCACTTAGATTTGATTTATATTGGCTTGAAGTTTAGGTCAGAAATGGGGGGAGTTGTTTCTATTATCAAAGTCTCATGTCAAAGTATGTTGACCACTGTTTCCTTCACTTGTAATTAGATTCTATAAATGAACAGTGAAGATCTACTTTTCAAAATGGTTTTGATATCATATATTTTCAAAAGTTTACTGTTTCCCTCTAAAAGCCTAAAAGGCATCTACTTTGTCCCCAGGGGATGAATTGCTTTGTTTGTTTACTGTGTGAAGCTGTGAATTTACTATTTCAACAGTTGTAGGTCTTAACCAGCTCCCTCACATGACTGATGGTCACCTTTTTTTTGTTGTTGTTGTTAGTTTTGCCTTTTTACTTATTTTCTTTCTAAGAATTTTTCTTTGCTTATTTGTCTCAGATTAAGACAGTTGCTAACCATAATAGCAAAATGGGCAGTGTTATAATGCCGCCTGATTGTTTACTTCTTTATATGGCGTGTACATGGTCAGCAATTACATTTGATTGTGCATGGAGAGCTTATGTTACTTATGAGCTTAAATTTTAGCCAAGTTCTCTTTTCTTTTTTTTCTTTTAAAAATAAGGTATACATTCCCCTACATCGAGATGGAACTGATGGCCAGGCTACTGTCTACTGGAGCTTGAAGCCCTCTGGCTTTAATTCAAAAGCAGTGACCCAGGATGATACAGGTCCCTTTAATGGCTCTGTTGTGTTTTTATCTGGGCAAAGTGACACAAGGATCAACATTACTGTCAAAGGTGATGACATACCGGAACTTAATGAAACTGTGACACTTTCCTTAGACAGGTAATACCTCATGGCAGGAACAGTAAATTTTGTTAGTTTGATTAATGATTTTGATTTTGTTTTAATTAATTTCTCCATATGTTGTGAAAACTATGAAGAAATACTTTTACAACTTTCACATGTTTCTGTTGTATATGGGTGAGTTTTCTTTGACTACAAAGATTCTTGTATTTTATATTTTGTGATGCTTCACCTTTTTGTTTTGCTCTGAAGGAGCATTATGTAGAGAGTTATGGGGAGTAGCTGACAGTTATGGGGAGAAGCTGAAAGTTATGGGGAGTAGCTGACATGTCTGAAGCATGGTCAGTCATGTTGCTTTGCTCATGAGGGCAGCAGCAAGCCATGAAATGTTAGGTTACACACTCAGTTTCCTGGCTTCACTTTCAAGAGAGGAAAGACTAGGCCTTCATCACATGATTAAAGAGACGGGATTAACCTTTATGCTGTTTGCATGCAATTTAAGTAGTAAATATTATTTTCCAGAAAAAAACACACACAAATTCATGTGTTAACATTTCAGCTATGATAGTAATAAACTACTCAGCATTTCTCAGGAGGAACCACAATCTCTAAGGCTTTATTATGTTTTATTTTTTTTCTCTAGAGAATTCAGAAAATGCCTTCTAAAGAGAAAATGAAGTCTGATTAATCAATGACAATAATTTTAAAAAGCACAATCACTCTTACCTTCTATGACACTGTGGCTAGAGGACATTGTGCAGTTCATAGTTATAAACAATAAAATTTAGGACTGAATTTGAGGTATTTTATAACATGTTCTTTATGCATGAAGCAGTGAAACCTTAATTGTGTGATCTTCTTATATCTGATTATTAGTTCCTATGCTTCTATTTTGTGGAGAGGCTGGTCTGGAATTCTTTGTGTAGACCTGGCTGGCCTCAGACTCACAGAGATCACCCACCTCTGGAGGTTAAAGTGCTGGGATTAAAGGTGTGCATCACCTTGTCTGGTATGGCTTATAAAGTGAATGAACAACATGAGGACCATTGAGAGCAGATCTATTGAGACACCACTGTTCATTTCATTATCTTCAGTATCACATGTTTATTTTGTTCTTCCACAAAAATAAAACAGCAAGAAATCCAAAAAGCCAAAATCCACAGTCTAAATGACACCATGTTAATTTGTCATAGATTGCCTTGTTGGAGAACTGCTTCAATTGATAAAAGTTAGCGAAATTCAATGAAATATAAACTGGAAATTAATGTTTTCCGTGGACCTTTTTGATATTTAGATCTGAGCACAGGTAAGTCAATAGGCAGTTGTAAGGAATACTAAAGCAAATTGAACAGTAATTATAATTATAGAAACCTCATTAGCTTGGCTGATTTCAACTAGATGTTTAAAGAACAATTGGAATTATATATACCTCTGAAAATCCAATGGCTCCTCTTTCTAGTCTTTCAAATGTAACATGAACGTTTGAAATGTATTAACTCTAATTTTCCAAGGTTTTTTTTTTTCTTTTTCTTTCCTCCTTTCCCTATGTGAAAGAGTATATACCACAGGGAAGAGGAAATCATAGAGTTCTCCTCCTCCTCCTCCTCTTCCTCCTCCTCCTTTTCCTCCCCCCTCCTCCTCCCCCAATATTGTGGTTCTTTTAAAATAGAGCAAACCAGTTAAAATGTACACTAAAATGTCATTTAGGTTAGTAACTAGTGTGCAAACAAGAATAGCCGAGTTATATTCTTTCATCCAAAGAAATGTTTAGATAAATAAATGAGAATGAAATTTAGCACTTGGAAATGATTTTGTGGAAATCTCCCTTTAGTTTTGCAAAGTCTTAACCAGACTTAAACAAAATACTGAATGAATGAATACTAGTGTGATTATATCACAACACAAGTTGGAGTACTTTATTAGGATGCATTTTACAATTTTCTCTTAAGGTCAAACTCAAGTACTTTATATTTAAACTAAATATAAACAAAAGTTGACTTGATACTAAATAATTAAAAACAACTTGAATATAACACCTATTAAAAGTACTTTGTTGTTTAATATTTTGCAATTAGGAGCATTTTCTTGTAATTTCATGAAAATAATTAAATGGTACATCGCTCTTTATTTATAAATGATATAATTCTACTTTAAAATCTGAGCTCAAGAGCTATTTAGTTTGGTGTATACCTTTCAAGGTTATTTGAAGATGAAATACAATAGGGACATGTAAAGTGTTTAGATTTCCTGATACAAAATTTTAATTAAAAGTAATGTTGTCTTGTGACTCCTTGAATATATTTCCCTGCCAGCAAGGGTACAGAGTACTCTGCTACAGAATTTTGATGATTTTAATGCAAATAGCAACTGGCTTTACATCTGAAGGTGGATTTTTTCAAACCTAATTAAAGTGAGTAATTATAAGTAGGGTTGAATGAAATTTGCACAGCTGCTGTGGCTTCTGGAAGTGCACAACACTTGCAGGCATCTGCTCTTTGGAGGGTGCCAGGAATGGAATGTCTTGAATGGGTCTTGACATGCTTGCTGGTCATGGGGTCATCTCCCCTGGGTGGGATTGCTAGCATTTGTCAATAGCAGAGAACACAGTGTGCACAGTTCCCACAAACTGAAAATTACTAGCTCTAGGCCTTGGGTGGGTAAGGCTGTTTTCTTTAACTTTGTTTTACCATCACACTCTAAGCTTTTCATAGTGAGATTTTAGCAAATGGTACACTTGCATCCTCCCCTTCCCCTGCCCACAGTTCTTTCTGTGTTGACAGGGTAGAAACAGAAAGATTTGTCGTGTATTTTGGGTAAGTGTTCGGATTAATGCCCTGTTTTGAAGATTCCATATTTTTGTTTTCTGTGAGTGACCGTTTTATGATGAAGCTGCCATTGTGCATGACTAGTCTTGAGCAATGCTGCCTGTCCACCTGGCTGTGCATGTCTGTGTGCAAATTTACTCTCTAGTGACAATGGAATTTGTATGAATGGTTTGAAATTTGGGGTCCTCAGTTTTTTGTTATGAATGCATTTAAAATATTTTATGAAACATTGAAGGATTGAGTGTATTCACATTTTGAAGAGGTTTAAATTGAAAATTTATCACATTTTGAAGAGTTTTAAAATTTAACTTTGCATATAGTTTACACCAAAGAATAATTGTAGTTTACATGTGAAATCCTTTCTGAATTTCATATTTGTTTAACAGAGAATATGAAATCAGTGGCTTTTATGAGTATATATTTGCAGTTTCTTGCTTTCATGTCTGTGTTTTATAGAGAATTTTTTAGAGTTTGCATGATATATTTGAGTAGCATATTTTAAGGAAGTCTAGGAACAACTACTTATTTTTCATACTGATTTACATACTTTGCTTTTCATCCAGTTTTGTCTCCTAGCTTATGTGGACACAGAGGATTTTAATTAATGAAGTTATTTATAGAAATGAAATAGAGGCATTGTCAACACAACAAATAACTGTTCTGGTGTTTGGATTAAATCCTCTGTGGTCACTAGCATGTTAGGTATTGGTTGTGTGATTTCTAAAAGCAGAAGCGTGTTGATTCATGTCCCTTCCCACATAGAAACCACTGGCCTGTGTGCATTTCTATGGACTTTTTGTGGTTTCATTGTGATTTGGAGGTCAGCTCATGACTACATTTTTGTTCAGTAGGAAGTGACAAGTTCAGTCCAACTTGCATAACTAAGACCCCAAAGAGCTAACTCTAAATCTCAGAGACTACTGTCTCTTTGATCATCCTTATTATACTCTAACACAAATACCAGAAATTAAAAAATTATCTATTTATTTATATATACACACACACATTTACACAAGTTGCTATTGCATGTCATTATCTCAGATCTACTTTATTCCTTTTATTCTAATATATTCTACCTTTTCTTTTTTCCTTAAGTATGTTTGAGGTCAAAGCTGAGACATACAGAAAGCACTTAAAAGACAAAACTATTCATAAAGGTCTGATCATAATTGTTTATTTAGTTTTGGTCATTTTTGCTGTGCAGTCACCCAGTTAATACATACCTTTCCTCAAGTAACATAATCATATTTAAGGAGACTTAAAAGAAATTCACATGTAAGTAAAATTAAAAAAATCAGAGAAGCATAATTCAGCAGCTACCAAGGCTACCAAGTTGTTTAAATATATTTTTCAACTAATTAGAAAGTAAAACTGCAATTCAATGTTTTAGACCAGTCAAATAAAAAAAAGATATAAAGAAATCAAAAATATTTCAGTAAGTGTTATCAATGAAACCAGTTTTGGCCTGAAGTGATTTTAATACATGTAAATCTGCTTTAAGGTATAACTCTTAGTTGCCTTTCTAATTGTCTGGAAGTATTGTAAATACTACTGGCCTTTTCAAATCTTGAAAAATTAAGAATACAGGAGTGCTTTTTCCTCTCTCCCTTTCCAGCGTGAGTGTGGACAGTGAAGTCCTGAAATCAGGATATACTAGCCGAGACTTGATTATTTTGGAAAATGATGATCCTGGAGGTGTTTTTGAATTTTCGCCCGACTCTAGAGGACCCTATTTTATAAAAGTAAGAATGAAACTTCATTGTGTATTTATAACTTCAGAAAATTTTCTAGAAGAATTTGAACTTCTATGGATTTTTTTTTTTTTGAAGGAAGGAGATGCTGTAGAACTCCGTATTACTCGATCCAGGGGGTCTCTTGTCAAACAGTTCCTACGATATCACGTAGAACCCAGAGAGAGCAATGAATTCTACGGAAACACAGGGGTGCTTGAATTCACACCGGGGGAAAGAGAAGTAGTGATCACCTTGCTCTCAAGACTGGATGGTGTCCCAGAGGTACCAGGTTTTGACTTTCTCTTACGCTTGTGGTGAAGATTGACATTATAAGTATATTGAGAATAGAAAACATTTTGAACATTGACAGCAAAATATAAGAAAAAATATTCATGTTTGGAAAAACTTAAAAGAGAGCTTAAAAAGCAGAATAAAATTCATTCAACTCACAAGAGTGTATTCTTGTCCAAAGATAAGAAATAAAAAACACTATGAGACTTCGATTGTGTGATCAGTTTTCTCCATTTATGGTAAGTTTTGGTTTATGCTCTCTATATGGACAGTGCTTATTGGTGTGGTTTTGAAGTGAAGTTTTGATATAAAATTATTTTTTTAGAAATAAGTTTGTTTTATATTAGAAGAATCAGATGCACTTCATTTATGTTTATACTACATTAAGCTTCCAGATTAATCCTTTTTACTCTTGCTCATTTAAATGAATACTAGATCATCAATGAAAAAGTCTTGGACTTTTAACAGCTTAGAATTTCTTTTCCTTTTTGTATAATGCCTCCTGTCTCCCAATTAGCAGGTAAATATTTTTAAAATTAGAAATGACATCAACTCTTTTGTCTTTCCATTGTGACGTTTGTGCCTGAACAGTTGGCCATATCTGGCCATATTGGCCAAATAACTGTCAGTTATTTAAGCATTTTATTTGCTGTGAGAACATCATCTTTACTTTTTTTTTTTTTAATTTGGCATGCTTTCTGTAGTTGGATGAGCACTGCTGGGTGGTCCTCAGCAGCCACGGTGAAAGGGAAAGCAAGCTGGGAAGTGCCACAGTTGTCAACATAACGATTCTAGAGAACGACGATCCTCGTGGAATCATAGAATTTGTTTCTGATGCTTTGACTGTGTCAATAAAAGAAAGCAAAGGAGAGGATATCTATAGTGGTAAATGATTTTGTTTACTATATTTTATTTCTGTTCACTGAAGAGGACATTAATCTCTTTTCAGTTTAATTTAAAAAATATTTTTTTTTTTTTGCCGAGTGGTGGTGGTGCACGCCTTTAATCACAGCAATCGGGAGGCAGAGGCAGGTGGATTTCTGTGAGTTGGAGACCAGTCTAGTCTACAAGAGCTAGTTCCATGACAGCCTCCAAAACCACAGAGAAACCCTGTCTCGAAAAACAAAAAGAAAATTGCTTTTATTTATATGTGTATTTGTGTGTGCTTGTGTGAGTTTGTGTGCACCACATGTGTGCAGATGCCCATGGCGGCCAGGCATTAGCGGTGGTGAACCACCTGTTTGGATGTTAGAACTGAACCTGGGTCCTCTTAACTGCTGACTCAATTCACCATCCCCTTAGTTCATTTCTTTAGTAACTATTGCCAGTTTCCCATTCTGTCTCTTAAATGACATGCAACTTAGAAACTTATTTTTTAAAACTCATATTAAGGGCTGTTTTCAGTTCTTCCTTACCATTGTGATGATATTGAAGTATTCACTTGTAGTTTGATTTTAGCTAATACATTATGACTCAGACACTTGGGAAGAGAAGTCATATGGAGAGGACACTACAGCTAAGAGTTACTGCTGAGAAACCACCACAGTGTTGGGAATGAGAATTCTTTTATTTTAAAAGCATTGTCTGGGTAATAAAATCATTTTGCCTGTCAAGTACAACTCAAGCTTCCAGCAAATGCCTTTGGTGGATCTGCTTGTAAGGTTTTATAATAGCTGTACATAATTGATTACAATCCCATTTCTATGCCAGATGGTTCTTTTTTTAAAAGATTTATTTATTTACTATGTGTATAGTGTTCAGCATCAAATCTCCGTTACAGATGGCTGTGAGCCATCATGTGGTTGCTGGGAATTGAACTCAGGACCTTTGGAAGAGCAGGCAGTGCTCTTAACCACTGAGCCATCTCTCCAGCCCCACCAGATGGTTCTTAATATCCCAAAGTGCTATAGGAAATATTGAGCAGGCTCAATATACACACACATACACACACACATACACACACACACACACACACACACACACACACACACAGTTATGTCAACCTTGGAGTATTTTTTAGGCAAGTGTTTGTGGGGGTTCACCTTTGTCTTCATGGTCAGTTGGCCATCAGTCCATGAGAACAACGGGGGAGAAGCAATGACAGATCCTTGTATGGCACTTGAACACAATGGAGATAGTCCTCCAGGAAAGACTTCAGTAATTCAGTTCAATTTTATTCCAGAGTATAGGGAATTGGACTGGGGAGCCTGGGGAAAAATCTTTATTTGCATTAAGTGGCATGCTCCTATCACAAGACTTCTTGTGTGGCAGCAGGGTCCTATAGCAGCACTCCCAGTGTAAGTCTTAGTTACCATATGTGCAACAAGGGGAGCTTTTAGCAAGAATCTTTGCCAAGGGTCATACTAGAGATAAATCAGTCATCTAGGCTTAGAGACAGATTTCAGATAAGTCAGTCCTCCAGGACCAGGGACATTCGCCACATAAGGGTAGGTAGAGAGCAAGAAGTCTCGATAGAGTCCCATGTCATCAAGCTTTGGAAAAAGCTGCCAGGTCATGACAGGCTGCAACCTCTGAAAACCAGCAAGGCCTCCCAACTGAAGTGTTGATGAAGATCGGTGTTTTTAGTTCTGTTTATTTCAGAAGTTTCTTTGCTTATTTTAAAGTGTCCATGTGTGTATTTTCCAGCTGTTTATGATGTAATACGAACTCGAGGCAACTTTGGTGATGCTACTGTATCATGGATGGTTAGTCCAGACTTTACGAAAGATGTATTTCCTGTGCAAGGAACTGTGTCCTTCAGAGACCAGGAATTTTCGCAAACTATCACGGTTTCTTCCCTTGTGGACGAAGTAAGTGCTTCTCATGCATACCTTTGCTCTGCTCATTGTAACCCTCTGCCTTGCTTGTCCTAATTGTTGAATCATGCCTTTCTCTGTGTTATTTGGTTGGTTTACCTTTCGTGGTGCTGTCGGACAAACACTCTATATGCCGCATAAGCATTCTAAATTTACAGCTCACTCATTCTTTTTATTAAGTAATTAAATATCTGGTAGTATATTTTGTGATGAAACTGTAATAAAGAGCTTCATTATGACTGACTGGATATACAGCAAGAAAGCAATGCTATTTGGGTATCCCTTGAAGGCATTTGTTTTTTCAAATCCTTACAATTGGTGGTGGTCAGTCACCCCATCATATATCAAATACCAAGGATTCAGGCATGGGGGCGGTGTTTAGCACCAGGTCTGCTTTAGGTACTTGGAAGAAGAGCCATGTTCTGGGTATCTCATGGTGCACTTCAGCATCAGGACACTGGGCATAGGGTTCAGCCCAACAGGGAATATAAAAAACTTTGCTAAGGTGGGGAGTGGACCTTTCTCAGGGCAAAGCTATGAAGCATGTCCTCTTTCCCTCAGAACTGTTCCACAACAGACAAAGTTCTCACTTTTTTATTTTTCTGTTTGGGGGTGGGGAGAAGACAGCGTGAAAGGGAAAAAGAATCCACCCGGGATATAAGATTCAGAGGAATGAATTTCATCATTCAGAGGACACAGAAGTAAGGGTGCCTTTGGACCTCCCTGGGAACCTTCCGGAGGAGGTGTAAAGACACTGTGAAAAGCAAACAGCCTGGCAACTGTTCGTGCTCTGTTCTGAAGGGGTTACAATTGTTACATTGTTTTTCTGTTCTAGTTTTTCACTTACAGTTAATTTCTTTCTCATTTTCTTATAGAAATAATATAAATTCTGGTATAGCCATGTTTTTCTTACTTAAGTCAAAATAAATGCATTCCCATTGTGCTTTATGGCTAGCCACAATAAAATGGCTGTCTGGAAAAATACTGAAATGATTTTAGGGCAATCTGAGTTTTATGGGAATATTTTAAGTAGCTTCTGCCTTAGAGTATTAGCAGTAATGATTGAATATTAGCATTAATAATTGAGCTTTCAAAAATGAATAGGCATGAATAATTACATATATGATTCATTTGACTTAAAATATGTACCATTTTCCCAAAGATTCCAGAGGAGATGGAGGAATTCACCATCATCCTATTTAATGCTACCAGTGGTGCTCAAACAGGAAATAGAACAACTGCCTTCTTGAGGATTCTAAGGAATGATGATCCCATTTATTTTGCAGGTAGTATTGCTATCTTCTTTGAGTGAGTTTGCATACTTCTTAAATAGTACATGTGTTTTTAAGACACTTTTGTGTGTATGTATATTTTCCCTGCATGCATGTATGTGTACGCTGTGCATGGCATCTTTAAGCCATATGAGCACAATGGGTCTGTACTAACTGGAGTTAGAATAGTTGTAAACCATCATATTCGTCTTGGAAATCAAACGTAGGTCCTCTGAAAGAGCAACAAATACTCTAAACTACGGAGATATCTCTCCAGTCCTTATATATGTTTAAGAAGAATCATTAACTGGACATTTTTGTAGTGTAATCAGTGTTGCTTAAATATAATTACATGATTCATTTGATGATTGATTTTCGTTGTTTGAGTTTAAGCATTTTTATTTTTAAGACCTTCTTAAACACAATGAAAATAAGAGAAGGCCCTTGGGTAACCTTTTATGCTCTTCCTTTTAACCCCATGACACTGCCTTTTCTCTGGGTAGGCAAGAGCATGCTTCCCCAGTCACTTCCTAACAGTGTCTGATGGATTCTAGGCTTGTGTTCTTCCTAAGAGTGGTCACTTGTTACAGTAGCTGATGAGTAATGGACATAGTAATTAAAGATTCTCCATTTTTGCCATTTTACTGCTTTCATTACAACTAACTTTTGCCCTTGAGGCATCTTCCAGTTTTATAAATGAGACTTAATCAGATTTTTAATTCTCTGAAATCTCTTTTATATGATGTATATACATGAAAGTGTTGATATAGTAACACCCTGAGCCTCTTGAATTTTATTTATGTCATTCTTAGCCTTCAGGTAATATGTAGTTAATGTTAGTCTTATGCTTATCTTTTTTCTAACTGTCATGGCAAAATGAAACAAGAGATCTGTATTCAAGGAACTTATCTTTAACATGAGGCATATTCAACAACAGTAAAAAAAAATAGAAATCTTATGAGATTTAATGACAGATTAGTTGCCAGAGACACTGGGTAATTCAGGCATTATTCAGGAAAGAACACTGACTCCTGAAGTAACCAGAGGGTCCTTGATCAGACAGGAACAGAGTAAACAGAGTACAGACTTTTCTTCTTGATGGCAGGGAGAAATAAGAGTGGTCTGAAAATGTGCTCATGGGATGGAATAGGCTCATGCATTTCTTGTCTGTGTATATTTCAGAGCCTTGTGTCCTGAGGGTCCAGGAGGGTGAGAGTGCCAACTTCACAGTGCTCAGAAATGGGTCTGTTGATGTAGCTTGCACTGTCCAATATGCTACCATGGATGGAGAGGCTTCGGGAAGAGAGGGGGACTTTGTTCCTGTTGAGAAAGGAGAAACCCTTGTTTTCGAAGTTGGGAGCAGAGAGCAAAGTGTATCTGTGTATGTCAATGATGATGGAATCCCCGAAACAGATGAAGCTTTTTATATAATCCTTTTCAATTCAACAGGTAAATAAGTACTGTTCTGGCTGCTCTGTGGTTTCATATGAGTTGTCATGCCAGGCTGACCTTTACTATAATCTGTAACTGCTTATGAGGAAAAGTGTTGCTCTGTTGCTTTTTGTTTGTTTGTTTGTTTGTTTGTTTGTTTGTTTTCGAGACAGGGTTTCTCTGTATAGCTTTGGAGCCTGTCCTGGCACTCGCTCTGGAGACTAGGCTGGCCTCAAACTCACAGAGATCCGCCTGCCTCTGCCTCCCGAGTGCTGGGATTAAAAGTGTGCACCACCAACGCCTGGCCCTCTGTTGCTTTCTTGACATGTGGGGTGAAGACGATAACTGTTGCTGTGCAGTATAAATTAGATTTGAGTGTGATAAAATTCTAAGAAAATCAACTTGTAAGAGGAAAGATTTTAGTTTATGATTTCAGGCATATTAGCCCATGATTGTCTAGCTGCACAATTTCTACACCCAAAAGAAAGCTTGGCATTAAAACCAAGAAGATAATATCAGTGCAAACCTTTACCAATCATCAGTCAAATTTCTTTAGTTCTCCCAATAACAGCATCTGTAGCAAAATTACCCCTAGTGGAATGATGCATTTCATTTAATGGTACTGTCCCTAAAATTTTTTCAGTCCGAGGTAATTCATATTTTATATTTGGCTTTCATGATTTCAGCAAAACCACAAGCTTGAATATCTCTCATTTAAGTTTGCCTGATGGGTCTTTTTTATTTGATGCAAGTATTTTATCCTTGGTAGTAATTACTGGGGTAATTCTGTGTTTTTAATTTCTTCTTGTCAGGATTTTGGTTTGTTCTTTCATTGTATTTGTTTTGGTACTATTAAGGTGATAATCTCCAAGTTTCCTTTTTATTGTAATTAATGAATGTTTGTGGCTAGTTAACTTGAAATATGTAGATGTATTACTACTCAAAAAATCAAGTTTTCATTGATATTTATTGGAATAGAATAATATTCTATTTATGATGTGGTTGATTTTATTACCATTGTTTATTTTTTATTTATTGTTTTATTTTTGTTTTGTTTTTTGAGACAGGGTTTCTCTGTGGCTTTGGAGGCTGTCCTAGAACTAGCTCTTGTAGACCAGGCTGGTCTCGAACTCACAGAGATCCACCTGCCTCTGCCTCCCGAGTGCTGGGATTAAAGGCATGCACCACCAACGCCCGGCACCATTGTTTATTTTTATGGTTACTACCACCCAGATTTGGCTAGTGTTAGTCTATTCAGCATAACTTTTTTTTTGCGTTTTGGCATGTCCTTATTCTTCAAGCATTACTCCACTTCCTGTTGCACCAAGCTGTTCAAGCCTGTTGTGTTATTTTCTTGTCCCAATCTTGAAATCAGCCAATTCTTTAGGAAGCCCCACTTTTAAGAATGTTTTCAGTAAATAGGATCTGACCACTGGGTGTGGTTATTGCTGCTGATGTTATTTCTAGTGCCATCTAATGACATGGTGTGGGAATTAATGTCCACACACATGAATACTTAGTGTGTGTATATGTGTCTGTGCTCACCCATGTATACACATGCAGAGGCTAGAGGATATTGTTAGCAGTTGACTTCTGGACTCTGTTCATGTTTGTGTGGTCGAATTTCTCACTGAACCTCATTCTTGACATTTGAGCCATGTTGGCCAACAGGCCCTTTGGATCCAGCGTCCTCTGGTCTCCTAGCTGGGGTTGTAGAAGCTCCTGCCTTTTACACAGACACTTGGGTCTGAATGCATAACATATACATGCAGCAAGCTCTTTACCACTGAGCCATCTCATTTGCTTTTTGTATCTGTAGTTTTACATTTTTTAAATTTAAGTGAATAAAATGAATACATGCTAAAATTTTTGTTAAATTAAAGGTAGCTTCTTTTTTTTTTAAACTACTTTGACTTCATATGTGTGTGTGTGTGTGTGTTTAATTTAGGTGACACAGTAGTATATCAATATGGAATAGCCACAGTCATAATTGAAGCCAATGATGACCCAAATGGGATTTTTTCTCTGGAGCCCATAGACAAAGCAGTAGAAGAAGGAAAGACAAATACATTTTGGTAAGTACATTTGGAGAAAGAAGGTTAAAATTGGATATAAGAAAAAAAAGTTAGTGTGTGAAAATTGAAACACTGTTCATCTACGCCAACAAAAAATTAAATGGTATAAATAAATAATAACTTTGTTTATGCTCTGCTATAATATTTTGCATTACAAAGCTAACCACAAGAACCATTTATTTGCTAAACAGAACTTAATCTCTTTGCCCTTCTTCCTCTGTATTTTATCTTCTCAGGAATGGAGGACCTCAGTTATACAGTCTTCAGCTTCTAATTCCTTGTACCTAGTGTTTTTCTTTCTTCTTGTTTTTCAATTGTGAATTTTGATGTATTACTTTCCCTTTTGAAATTTATTCTTCTCTCATATATCACATCCTGACTGTAGTTTCCCCTTCCTACTCTCCTCGGAGTCCCACCCTGCAACATCCCCTGTCCTGCAGATCCACTCCTCCTCCATTTCCCTTCAGAAAGAGCAAGCCTCCCACGGACATCAAACAAACATGGCATATCATGTTTCAATAAGACTAGGCATATCCCCTCATATTAAGGCTGGATGAGGAAACCCAAAAGGAGGAAAAGGGTCCCAAAAGCAGGCAAAAGTGTCATAGACAGCCCCACTTGCACTGTTAGAAGTCCCACAAGAACACCAAGCTACACAAACATAATGAATATGCAGATGACCTAGGGATGACTCATTGTAGGCTTCCTGGATGCAGCCTAGTCTCTGTGAGCTGCTATGAGCCCAGATTAGTTGATTCTATGGATTTTCTTGTGTTGTTCTTGACCCCTCAGTCTCCCACAACCCTTCTTTTCCCCTTTTGGGAGGATTCCTTGAGCTCCACCCAATGTGTGGATGTGAGTCTCTGTATCTGCTCCCATCAGTTACTGGATGGAGCCTCTCTCATGACGATTATGTAGGCTCCTCTCTACAAGAATAGGAGAGTATCATTAGGAATCATTTCATTGACTTTTTTTTTTTTTGATGGTCATGTTTGGTTCTATCCTAGGTTTCTGGGCAATCCAGCCTGTGGTTCCTGGTGCTCCAGGAAGTGTCAGGGTTGTGCTTCCTCTCATGGCATGGGCCTCAAGCTGTAACAGTCACTGGCTGGTCACTCGCACAGGTTATGTGCCACCTTTACCCCAGCATGTCTTGTAGGCAGGACAAATTGTAGGTGGGAGATTTTGTGACTGGGTTGGTGTTCCAAATTACTCTTCTGAGAGCTTTGCCTGGCTACAAAAGATAGCCACTTTTGGGTCCATATCCCTCATTACTAGGAGTCTTCACTAGGGTCACTCTCATAGATTCCAGTGGGTTTCTATTGCACTAGGTTTTCACATGGCCCTTGAAATGTACCTCCCTCCATTTTCAGTTGTCCCTCCCAGTACTCTCTCCCTCCATAACCCCCACATCTGATCTCTCTTGTTCCCATTCCCACAAGACCCAAGTCTACTTGCAAATGTATTCTGTTTTTTCTTCCCAGGAAGATTCATGCATCTTCCCTTGAGCCCTCTTTGTTACTTAGCTTCTCTGGGTCTATGGATTATAGCATGACTATTCTTTACATTAAAGCAAATATCCATGTTTGTCTTTCTGGGTCTGGGTTACTCAAGATGATTTTTTTGTAGTTCTAGCCATTTATGTGCAAATGCCATGATGATATTTTTTTAACAGCTGATTAGTACTCAGTTGTATAAATATACACAGTTTCTTTATCCATTCTTTGGTTGTGGGTTATCTAGGTTGTTTCCAGTTTCTGGCTATTATGAATAAAGTTGCTATGAACAAAGTTAATCAAATGTCCTTATGGTATGATGGAGTGTCCTTTGGGTATATGCTCAAGAGCGATATAGCTGGGTCTTGAGGTAGACTGATTTGCAATTTTCTGAGGAACTGTCATAATGAACTTCCACCAGCAAATGAGGAATGTCCCCTTTCTCTACATCCTTGCCAGCATGAGCCATCACTTGTGGTTTTGATCTTAGCCATTCTGACAGGTGTAACACAGAATTTCAGAGTCATTTTGATTTGTATTTCCCTGATGACTGAGGATGCTGAACATTTCTTTGTTTCCTGGCCCTTTGAGATTCCTCTTGAGAATTCTCTGTTTAGATCTGTACCCATTTTTAATTCAATTATTTGTTTTTTGATGCCTAGTTTCTTGAGTTCTTTATAAATTTTGGCTATTAGCTCTCTATCAGATATGGAATTGTTGAAAATCCTTTCTCATTCTGCAGACTGCCATTTTGTCCTATTGACACTATCCTTTGTCCTACAGAAACTTTTCAGTTTCAGGAACTCCCATTTGTTCACTGTCAGTCTTAGTTCCTGCTCTGTTTATGTTCTGTACAGGAAGTTGTCTTCTATGCCAGTGTGTTCAAGGATATTTACCACTTTCTTCTCTATCAGGTTCAGTGTTATCTGGTTTTATGTTGAGGCCCTTGATTCACTTGGTCTTGAAGTTTTGTGCAGGGTGATAGATACAGATCTATTTACATTATTCTACATGCCAACATCCAGTTTGACTAGCACCATTTGTTGAAGATTCTGGCTTTTTCTCCATTGTATATTTCTGTTCTTTATAAAAAAATCATGTGTATATAGGTGTGTGGATTTATGTCTGGTTCTTTCCATTGATCAACCTGCCTATTTTTATGCCAACAGTGTATGGGTTTTATTACTATAGCTCTGTAGTATAGCTTTAAATCATGGATGGTGATACCCTTGGAAGTTCTTTTATTGTTCAGGATTGTTTTAAATATCTGCTTTTGATTTTTCATATGAAGTTGAGTATATTGTTCTTTCAAGGTCTGTAAAGAATTGTGTTGCAATTTTGATGGGGATTGCATTGAATCTGTAAATTGCTTTTGGTAAGATGGCCATTTTTACTATGTTAATCCTATTGATCTGTGAGCATGGGAGATCTTTCCATCTTCTGATATCTTCTCCAATTCCTTTCTTCAAAGACTTGACGTTCTTGTCATACAGATCTTTCACTTGTTTGGTAGAGTTACACCAAGATATTTTATATTATTTGTGGCACATTTGAAAGGTGTTGTTCCTTTGATTTCTTTCTCAGCCAGTTTGTCCTCTGTATATAGGATATCTATTGTTTTTTTTTTTTTTTGAGTTAATCTTGTGTCTAGCTACTTCACTTAAGGTGTTTATCAGCTGTAGGAGTTCCCTGGTAGAACTTTTGGGTTTGCTTGTGTATACTATCACATCATCTGTGAATAATGATACTTTGACTTCTTCCTTTCCCATTTTTATACGATTGATCTCCTCTAGTTGCCTTATTGCTCTAGCTATGATGTCAAGTATTATATTGAGTACATATGGAGAGAGTGGACAACCAGGTCTTGTTCCTGATTTTAGTAGAATTCCTTTGAATTTCTCAGCATTTAATTTGATGTTGGCAATAGACTTGCTGTAAATTGCCTTTATTATGTTTAGGTTTAACCCTCATATCCCTGATATCTCTTTATCATGAAAGGCTGTTAGATTTTTTCAAAGGCATTTTCAGCATCTAATGAGATGATCATGTGATTCTTTCTTTTGTTTAAATGGTAGGTTACATTGACAGATTCTTGTGTGTTGAACCATCCCAGCATCTCTGCAAAGAAGCCTACTTGATCATTGTGGATTATCTTTTTGATGTGTTCTTGGATTTGGCTTACAAGTATTTTATTGAGTATTTTTACATCAATGTTATTGAGGGAAGTTGTTTTGTAATTCTCATTCTTTGTTTAGTCTTTGTGTGATTTGGGTATAATGGTGACTATAGCCTGATAAAATTAAATTTGACATTGTTTTTTCTGTTTCTATTTTTTGAATAATTTGAGGAGTACTGGTATTAGGTCTTGTTTAAAAGTCTGGTAGGATCCTACACTAAAACCATTTAGCCTTGGGCTTTTTTTGGTTAGGAAACTTTTAGTGACTGTTTCTATTTTGTTAGAGGGTATAGGTCTATTAAATTGTTTATCTGATCTTGATTTAACTTTGGTAAGCTATATCAATCAAGAAATTTGTTCATTTCTTTTAGATTTTCCAATTTTGTGTAGTACATGTTTTTGAAGTATGACTTAATGATTCTTTGGATTTCCTCAGTTTCCCTTTTTATTTCTGACTTTCTCATTTTGGATGTTATCTCTCTGTCTTTCAGTTAGGTTTTTTTTGAGTTTAAGTTTTTTTTAAGTTTTTTTTTAAGTTTTAAGTTTTTTAAGTTGATCCTGTTGATTTTCTCAAAGAACCAACTCTTTGTTTCAATGATTCTTTTGTATTGTTCCTTTGTTTCTGTTTTATTGATTTTAGCCCTCAGTTGGATTATTTCCTGTAGTCTACTCCTCTTTTGTGTTTACTTCTTTTTTCCTGGAGCTTTTATTTGTGCTCTAAGATGCTAGTATGAGATCTCTCTAGTTTCTTTATAAAGGCACTTAATGCTATGAACGTTCCTCTTAGCACCACTTCATTGTGTCCCACAAGTTTGGGTATGTTGTGATTCATTTTCATCAAGTTCTGGAATCCTTCATTTCTTTATTTCTTTATTTCTTCCTTGGCCCAGTGTTAATTCTGTTGAGAGCTGCTCCGTTTCCATGAGTATATAGGCTTTCTCTTGTGGAAATCCTGCTTTAGTCTGTGGTGGTCTGATAGGATACAGGGGATTATTTCTATTTTTCTTATTTCTATTCAGACTTGATTTGTGAGGAGACAGTTTTGTGAGCTGCCGAGAAGGTATATTCTTTTGTGTTTGTGTGAAATGTTCTGTAGATATTGGTTAGGTCCATTTGTTTGATAATGTCTGCTAGCTTCATTATATTTTGTTTAGTTTTGGGATGACCTGTCCACTGGTGAGAGTAGGGCATTGAAGTCTCCCACTAGTAATGTGTGAGGGTCAATGTGTGATTTAAGCTTTAGTAATGTTTCTTTTACAAATGTGAGCACTCTTGCATTTAGAGCACAGATGTGAAGAATTTCAATATCTTCTTGTTGGATTTTTTTTCTTTGATGAGTATGAATGTCCCCTTCATACTTTCCCATCTCTTTTAATTAATTTTTGGTTTAAGTCTATTTTGTTAGATTTTAGAATGGATATATTAGCTTGCTTCTTGGGTCCATTTGCATTTAAAATCTTTTTCTAACCCTTTACTCTGAAGTAATGTCTGTCTTTGATGTTGAGGTGTGTTTCTTGAGTGCAGCAGAATGATGGGTCCTATTTTCACATTCATTCTGTTAGCCTGTGTCTTTTTTTTGTTCAGGAATTGAGTCCATTGATATTGAGTGATATTAATGACCAATGATTGTTAATTCCTGCTGTTTCATGTTGGTGGTTGTAGTGGTTGTGTGTGTGTGTGTGTGTGTGTGTGTGTGTGTGTGTGTGTGTGTGTGTGTGTGTGTTTGTGTTTTATCTTCTTTTGGTTTTGCTGGTATGAGATTATTTACTTCCTGAGTTTTTATATGTGTAGTTAGCTTTCTTTGATTGAAATTTTCCTTCTAGTACTTTCTATAGGACTGGATTTGTGGATAGATATTATTTAAATTTGAATTTGTCATGGAATATCAAGATATTTCTGCATCTATGGTGACATTTGTCTAGGCACTTCTGGCTTTTAGAGTCTCCATTGAGAAGTCAGATGTAATTCTAATTGGGCTACCTTTATAGGTTTCTTGGCCTTTTCCCCTTGCAGCTTTTAATATTCTTTATTGGTTCTGTATGTTTTGTGGTTTGATTATTATGTGGTGAGGGGACTTTTTTTTCTGGACCAATCTATTTGGTGTTTTGTAAACTTTTTGTATCTTTATAGGCATGTCTTTCTTTAGGTTAGGAAAATCTTGTATGATTTTGTTAAAAATATTTTTCTGGGTCTTTGAGCTGGGATTCTCCTTCCTCTATTCCTATTATTCTTAGGTTTGATCTTTTCATAGTGTCCCAGATTTCCTGGATATTTTCTGTCAGGAAATTTTTAGATTTAATATTTTCTTTGATTGATGTATCTTCAATGCTTGAAATTCTGTCTTCTATCACTTGTATTTTGTTTATGATCCAGGATTCCTTCAATTTGCATTTTCTTTAATTGCTTCTATTTCCACTTTCAGATCTTGGACAGTTTTATTAATTTGCATTACCTGTTTTTTTTCTCAGCTTTTTTGTTTTTGCCTTTTAAAAATGTTTTATTATGGATTTCTTTTAGGGACTTAATATTCTTGCTACCATTTCCTTCTTTTACTTGGTTGCTCAGTGGAAACTGCTGTCTCATTCAGTGATAAATGAAAATATATACTTTCAAGAGAAGACAGAATGCTCTTGATATTGTTATATTCAGCACATATACACATTTCATAAAAATATTTTTGTTCCATTTTCACATAGGATTTTGAGGCACCGAGGACACTTTGGCAATGTTTCTGTGGCTTGGCAGCTGTTTCAGAATGTTTCTCTGCAGTCTGGACAAGAATTCTATGAAACATCAGGGATTGTTAACTTCATAGATGGAGAAGGATCAAAACCAGTAATTCTCCATGCTTTCCCAGATAGAATTCCTGAATTCAATGAATTTTATATCCTGAAGCTTGTAAATATTTCAGGTGTGTGCTCTTTCCATTTCTTATGTTACCATCAAAATTTTATAATTTGTGTTTCAATAGACTCATATACAAAATCTAATTGCTGGTAAAGTGAAGTGTATTATGATTGTCTTATTTTAATGTCAATGTACCTTTTTTGGTAGAAGTTGTTTTGTTTTTGCAGTGCTAGGATTCAAACCCTAAGCCTGTGTACATTAGGAGTGCTCTACCATTGAGTTACATCTCTAGCTCTTTTCTTGTTTACGATTTTGAGACGACGGGGCATCTTTGGTGATTATTGGTTGGCTGAGTTTGCCACCAATGACTGTTGACATGAGATCTCACTATATAGTGCAGATATAGTGCAGGCTGGTCTTAAACTCTGGATTCTACTGCCTACATCTCTGGAGTGCTGGGGTTATAGGCACATGACACTGTATCTGCCTTAGTTTTTCTTGTTTATTCATTGATCTGAGGCATAGAATCTGAGACTGTGCTAACTAAGTGCTATACCATTTACTATGCCCCTAGCCTCAAACTGTTAAGAGGTTCAGTTTTATGAATGGAGGCTTCCTCTATCTTACTATTTTTGGTTTTAAGTTTAAAAGTATTGGGGGGGCACTTGACTGATTATCAATATGAATATGCTAATTGGTGTTATTTAATAACTGTCTTTCAAAATGTGAAATCAACATGATGATCCCATTATTTGATGATAATTTAGCTAGAAAATTTCTGTAAACATACTGCTTTTTTTCTTGGACTAAAAAGCATTTAACTTCTGTCTTTTTAATTATTCTAAATTCTGTTATTACAGGTTCTGGAGGTCAACTAGCAGAAACCAACCTTCAGGTGACAGTCATGATTCCATTCAATGATGATCCATTTGGAGTTTTCATCTTAGATTCAGAGTGTCTAGACAGAGAAGTGGCAGAAGATGTCCTATCAGAAGACGATATGTCTTATATTACTAACTTTACCATTTTGAGACAACAGGGCATCTTTGGTGATGTAAGGGTTGGCTGGGAGATACTGTCCAGAGAGTTCACTGCTGGTTTGCCACCAATGATTGACTTTTTGCTGGTAGGAAATTTCCCTAATACTGTGCATCTGCAACCACATATGCGACGTCACCACAGTGGAACCGATGTCTTGTACTTCAGTGGACTAGAAGGTGCATTTGGGACTGTTGATCCAAAGTACTGTCCTTCCAGGAATAACACAATTGCCAGCTTTACATTTTCAGCTTGGGTAATGCCTAATGCCAATACAAATGGATTTCTCATAGCAAAAGATGACGGCAATGGAAGCATCTATTATGGGGTAAAAATTCAAACAAATGAATCCCATGTGACCCTTTCCCTTCATTATAAAACTTTTGGATCAAATGTGACATATATTGCCAAGACCACAGTTGTGAAATATTTAGAAGAAGGTGTTTGGCTTCATGTTTTAATTATCCTAGATGATGGCATAATTGAATTCTATCTGGATGGGAATGCAATGCCTAGAGGGATCAAGAGTCTGAAAGGAGAAGCCATTACTGATGGTGAGTGTCAGCTTCATGGCTAGCACATTCAATCAGAAAGATTCTCAAATCTCCAATTAAAATTTGACTTTTAGAAAAGAGCTAGCAAGTGTTTTGAAACTTGACTTTGCTTTTCTCTTACAAAGCTGTGTGTCTGTGAAGACCAGGATAGAATTACGTTGAATATTTCAGAAATGAAGTGTGCAAAGTCCTTAGGCCAGGGGAATCAGAAGCAGGCTCCAGGTAAGAAATGTGGAAGCAGATCACTATAAAACTTTGCAGGAAGAAAGGAAAAGATAGGAGCATCATTTGTCTCTCAAGTTAGGGGTCAGGATGGGGACTGTTTCAGCATAGGAATGAGCAAAAGTCTGGACTTCTGAAGGAGCCCGTTGTGTCTGGGAAACTGTTTCTCCTTCACTATGATAGGAAGTGAGGAGTAATGAGCACTGGGAAGAATTGGAGTCAGGAGAAAATATTCACTAAAAATTATTACAGGCTCTATATTATTAGTAGGTGAATGGATAAGTCTGTGGTTTGCTTTGAAGACATAATCTTCCTTGGCTTTTAACTAAATCACATGATTTCTCTTTGCATATGTACTTGGGTGGCTGACTCAGGAGAATCATGAGGGACAGGTTAACTTGGGCTGCATAGCAGTTGCTGGCCAGAAACAATATGAGATCCTGTCACAAAACATCAATAACCAAAATAAGAAACAAACCAACTGAACTATAAATTGATGAAATCCTAAAAAGGACTCGGGAGGCATAGTGACATGTAGCTGGCCTGAATGCTGTTACTACTTTTTAAGGGTTCTTCATGCTTGAATATAGCGTTTCTAAGAACTGTTTATGTTTCTACATTCAGTTAGGTTTTAGACAAAATGATATAATTGGCCTTTAGAAACCACACTTCTCTGGAACCACCACTTCATTTAACTGGGGAAGAATTTTTAGTTCAAGTTCTCAATGAGTATAATCTGTAGTTTTAAAATTGTAACCGAATTAATGCATACATGTTTAAATCAGTAAACAATTTTAAAGTGTCATACATGTTTATGCAAATAAATCTAAAAACACATACATAGGTATATAATATGTATGCATGTATATACATACATATGTAAAAATGTATACATTTGTTTTTCTGTTCATAAATGATTTTGACAGACTGGTACAAATTATTTTCAAGAGCATCATTTAATTTTGAAGGCAGATACTGCAGTGTAAGATCACAAATCCCAGCAATTATTGTGCAGGTTCCTTTTTATCATAAAGATACTATTTATTTGATCACTTTTTAGTTATGGAAAAGTTTTACTTCTCAAACATATATTTCAGTGAAATTGCCTTGCTTTCTGAATCACACTTATCGCTTGTGGTAGGGGACAGTGGTTGTTGTAGCATCTAATCATGTCTAATTTCAGGTCCTGGAACACTGAGAATTGGGGCAGGGATGAATGGCAGTGACAGATTCACAGGCCGAATGCAGGATGTGAGGGCCTATGAGCGGAAACTGACAACTGAAGAGATTTATGAACTCCATGCTATGCCTGCAAAGAATGATCTACACCCCATTTCTGGGTATCTGGAGTTCAGACAAGGAGAAAACAACAAGTCATTCATCATTTCTGCACGAGATGACAATGAAGAGGAAGGGGAGGAATTATTCTTTCTCAAACTGGTCTCTGTCTATGGAGGGGCTCAGATTTCTGCGGCAAATACTACAGCTAGACTAAGAATACAGAAAAGTGACAATGCCAATGGCTTGTTTGGTTTCACAGGAGCTTGTATACCAGAGGTAAGTAGGGGGCTTGGGAGAGCTTCATAGTAAAACTTTCTGCAGGTGGATTTGGTTAGGGGTGAGCTATGCTGTAGCTGCTCATGTAGTTTGTACATGTAAATCTCAGTCCCTGTTCCTGGTAGTTTTCAGCTCAAGTCACCTTATGGAGGTGAGAGAAACTGACAAAAGAGCAAATAACTCTTAGCAATTAGCTTTAAAGTTAATCCCTTTAAAGATTAATTATGTACTACAGGTAATTTTGCTAATTTTTGGATACCATATATGTAAATGAAATAATTCATACTCAAAATCTGTGTGAATAATTAAAAATGAAACTCGATTTCAATTTGCTTTTCTTACAGGGAACATTTTGAAGTAGTTATAGGATTCTCCCAACTTGGTTTGGTAATGTTTCTTACCAACTTTCTTGGCTGGCTTAATTCATCAACCACTTTACTGTTCTTATCAGTTCTTCCTAAGTTTTCAAAGACACATGATCACCTCAGTTTCCTCATTAGTAATACGAGATCTCATGAAACCACCTCACAGGTGTTGTGTGTGACAGCAAACACTCCAAGCAAGTAAGACACTGCCAAGAAACAAGAGAGCTATTTGCTCTGCAACTTGACACCAGTAGATCTAGATGAATGTATATGTGAATTGAATGATTAAGAAAAATGGGATGAATAGAACTTAAAAAATTATCTGTGTCACAGGACTCATTGTAGCTAAAATTGAAATGCCCAGATCTCTGGAATTTCATCTAGACCCTTAGTTTCCCTGGCAACCACAAGACAAGAGAACTTCAGTTGTTTTAAACTTCAGAAATATTGTATATGTTAATAATGACTTTAAATTGTTCTTTTATATTTACTGTTTGTTATCTCTTTTTCATTTCCTTTTTTTATTTAGAAACAATCATTTTATGTATCACCCTCCCTGTTCTGTCTCCCTCCCATGCCCCCTACCAAACCCCCAACCCACCCCTACCTGCTCCCCAAGGATGGTGAGGCATTCCATGGGGGATCAGAAATGTCTGTCACAACATTTGGTGGAGGGCCTAGGCCCTTCTGCATGTATCTGGGCTGAAATAGTGTTCCTACATAGGGAGTGGGCTCCCAAAGAACATTTGTGCACTAGGGATAAATACTGGTTCCACTGTTAGAGGTCCTATAGCCCGCCTAGGCCTCCTAACTGGCACCCACATTCGGAGGGTTTAGTTTAGTCCAATGCTGGTTTCTAAGATTTACAACTAGGGTCACTGTGCTCTCACTAGGTCAGGTCAGCTGGTTCAGTAGGTTTCTCCAGCATGGTCTTGACTGCTTTGCCCATTCCTCCTCTGTATCTACAACTGGATTCCAGGAATATGGCTCAGTGCTTAGCTGTGGATGTCTGCTTCTGCTTCTATCAGCTACTGAATGAAGGCTCTAGGATGGCAATTAGGGTAGTCATCATTTTCATTATAGGAGAAGGGCATTTAAGGTAGCCTCTCTACTATTTCTTAGGTTCCCAGTTGGGGTCATCCTTGTGGATCTCTGTACAATTCCCTAGTGCTAGATTTCTCTTTAAACCTATAGTGTCTCCCTCTATTGATGTGTCTCTTTTCTTGTTCTCTTCTATTCCTCTCTCCACTCAATTTTCCTCATCCCTCATATTCTCCCCCCCCCTTGTCCCTCCTACCTCCCTCCTTTCTCTCCCTATGCTCCCAATCTGTTCAGGGGCTCTTGTCCCTTTCCCCTTCTCTGCGGGACCATGTATGTCTCTCTGAGAGTCCTCCTTATTTCCTTGCTTCTCTGGAGGTGTGGATTGTAGTCTGGTAATCCTTTATTCTATGTCTAATATCTGTATATGAGTGAGTACATACCATGTTTGTCTTCCTGTGACTAGGTTACCTCACTTAGTATGGTTTCTTCTAGTTCCATCCATTTGCCTGTGAATTTCAAGATTCCATGTCTTGTCTGCTGAGTAGTACTCCATTGTGTAAATGTACCACATTTTTTGTATCCATTCTTTGGTTGAGGGCATCTAGGTTGCTTCCAGGTTCTGGCTATTACAAATAATGCTGCTATGAACATAGTTGAACAGATGTCCCTATTGTATGAATGTGCATCTTTTGGGTATATGCCTAAGAGTGGAATTGCTGGATTTTGAGGTAGACTTGTTCCCATTTTCCTGTGAAACCACCATACTGATTTCCAAAGTGGCTGTACTCCCACAAAGTTTGCACTCCCACCAGCAATGCAGAAGCATTTCCCTTTCTCCACATCCTCTCCAGCATAAACTGTCATTGATGTTTTTGATTTTAGCCATTCTGTCAGGAGTAAGATGGTATCTCCAGAGTTGTTTTGATTTGCTTTTCCCTGATGGCTAAGGATGTTGATCGGTTTCTTAAGTGTCCTTCAGCCATTTTAGATTCCTCTATTGAGAATTCTCTGTTTAGTTCTGTGCCCTACTTTTTAATTGTATTATTTGGTGTATGTATCTGCTGTGCCCCTGTAGGTCAGAGAATAACTGGTGATAGCCAGTCCTTCCCTTCCACAGTGTGTGTTGTAGGATCAAGCTCAGGACATCAAACTTGATAATAAATGTCTTTGCCCCAGAGTCATTTCTTCTGTGCTGATAAAGCATTTAAAGGGGATACAGACATCAACGTTTACATATTCACATGTATGCACTTTTCTGATAATCTAATACAGATACAACATATCTTTGCTCTCATTGTAGAATTAGACAGAGTTACAGGTCTGAGAAATAACTATCCTATGTTGAATTAAATCCAGTGGGATCAAGTCAAATTCCTGTTTAAGGTTTTGTGTTTATTAGAACTTAATGATTATCAATTTTGTCCTTTGCCTCTAAGATACTATAAAAGGACTAGAATCTGAACTTATCCCTTGAGGTTCTTAATTTGTTATCTTTCTCCATGTCTTTTCAAATGTCATTATCCCTAATCTTAAAAAGTTGGATGGCTTTTGCTCGGTTGTAAGAACCATGATGGTGTCATGTACTGTCATATTCCTTAAGTTACCTTCAAGATCTGGCCTCTGCCTGTGATACTGTCCTCATCTGTGTCATTCCCATCTATCATTAGTATGACAGCTTGCCTTGGTACAAACCCAGTGTCAATATGCAGCACTCATCAGCTTCAGTCTTTGCAATTGTTTCATTCTAGGTCTTCAGTTGTAGTTACTTAAAGACACTGTCTCTATTTAAAGTAACTGATAACCTTCTCAAACTCACTGCTCTTTGCCCACTCATTGTTTAATGTTTTTGGAGCATGGATCACATTATCAATTTCCCTCTGGCCTTTGTAAGTCTACTTATCTATATCTATCTACAGCTGTATCCACTCAGAGAAACATTTCTGAGTTACAGGAAGGTCTTCTTACCCATTGGTGTATCAGTAGCATTGAGAATGGAATGTTGTAGGTATTCAGAAAACATGTAGGACCTTTTGAATACATTTGGTATCAAAATGTGAAAAAGCACACAGCGTTTCAGATAGTCTTTAGTTTTAGTTAAGTCCATAAGTCATCAAACTGGAAAAGCAAAGCTCAACACTTTTAAGTAAAATGAAGAGTAGTCTCTCAGTGTTCCCTGGTCTGAGCCATTGTAGTCAAGTTTTCAATGCTGGCTTGTTTCACAAATCCCATTGATGACCCCACTTGGTGATAGTTTACTGTGTAGTTATGCTGCTTAGTCTCAATACATTCCACCAAGCCCTTCACTGTGGATGAGAAAATTTGTATGCATTAGGCCACATGGCCCAAACTGCAGTGAAGTTTCAGCTGGCATTTTCCAGGCCTATATGAGATAAAATGGATGGATCTGTATTTGAAAAAGAAATATTTGGTGATTAAGACAGGAAAATTGTTGAGTCTAAAAGATTAAACATTGACAACTGATTCTTAGGGATATTACATAATTCCTATTTTTGAAATGATAGGAGAAACCTAAAACTCCTATTTTTATCATCAGTATAATTATTGAAAGCAACAATATTTATTCAGTTTTACAGAAATCTTTCTCAAAATGGCTTTAGGGCCCCTTAGTTTTTTTGAGATATCTTCCGGGCCTCAGCAAGTTCCAACTTAATTTGATAAGCAATACTAAAATATTTCAGTTTTTCATTTTATTTCCATTTTGTGCTACAAAAGCAAAGATGATGTAGACTTGTAGCTTCTATCAACTTTGTAAAAATTATGGAGATGTTACCCACTCTGCCAGTTAATGACTACGGCATAATATAGTATTAACTTCATTTAAAAATATCTTTCACGAGGGCTGGAGAGATGGCTCAGCCATTAAAGGCTAGACTCACAACCAAAAATATCTTTCATAAATCAGTACAAAATTAAGTTTTGAAAATTTCAAACCCCAGGTACCTGTTTTTCAAATATTACATGCCACAGGATGAGTAGAGTGAAAGGTGTTTTCTGTGGCATTATCAAAGCATGATGGTTGGACACTGATCAGCACCCAAGAGTATGCACTGCTCTTGCAGAGGACCCGTGGTTGGCTTACAACCTCTTATAACTCCAGCTCCACGGCTCTCCTCTGGTCTGCTGGCACCTGCACACGTGCCCCCCCCCCACACAATGGTGGGGCTAGGAGAATTTTTCAGTGTTTAGAATGCTTGCCCTTGTCAATGTGAGGACTCAAAACCCATGCAAAACTAGATAGGCTAAAATCAGTGAGCTCTACATTCTGCAGGCCACCCTGTGTCAACAAATAAAGTGGAATACTATTGAAGTTAACTTTCGGCCTTCACATGCACATGCATAGTGGTGTGGCCACATAGGTGCAAACATGGATTCCCATAGGTACACTCACCACATACACACGCACAGACAAGACTGTAATGGATGAGTGAAGAAAGATGCAGACCCAATTTTGAGTCTTGCTCAGAGTTAGTTGCTGATCTTTGGAACACCACATTCTTCTTGAAAAAAATGTTGACAAATTTTGCTTATGCCTACTTTGGTATGGTATTTGGCACATGTTTTCAGAAAATAAGCTATTGACTTTGAGAAAACAAATAATAGTTCTGGTTGGTGATTTAAAAATATCCAATCTTTCACATGAAAATCTTAATTTTAGAAATTTTATCAGCCAGAGTGAGTTTGACAGTTTTTGAGTACTTCAGATGTTTGAGATAATATTGCCAGTGATCTATACCAGTTGTTTTGTATAATTAAATTATGTCAACATGTGGAAGATTTGATGAACTTATTAACCCAATATGTTCTAAATAATCATTGCATAGATAGAAGGTTGATTCCTAATGCAAGAGGGGCAGTGGGTTACAGTGCAACAAAATGTTTATAGGTTTCACAAAACTCTAAGAAACTGCTAATTTTCAAATTTTGGCGTGGTGCTGCAGTACCCATAGTTATCCTAAAAATCTATGACGATCCCACTATTTTCCAGTTATATATGTAAGGCTGCATTTTCTATTTACACTTCAGCTAGAATTCAGGGAGTAGCATACCTACTAACTATAAAAGGAGCTATCAAGTAGAGCTGTTCTCTATTAAACTTTAGAGCAGTGGTTCTCAACCTTTCCAATGCTATAACCCTTTAATACAGTTAGTTCCTCATGTTGTAGTGACCCCCAACCTTAAAATTATTTTTGTTGCTACTTTGTAACTATATTTTTTCTGCTGTTATGTCTCATACTGTAAATATCTGTGTTTTCTGATGGCTTTAAGTGACCCCTGTGAAATGATTGCTCAGTGGGGGAGGAGCGAATGGGGAGATAGATGGGAGGAGGCAGGAGGGAACAGGAAGAGAGGAGGGAGGGGAAACTGGGTTGGTATGTGAAATAAATGAAAAAAAATTAATAAAAAGGAAATAATTGTTCGGCTCCCAAAGGGGTCGTGACCCACAGGTTGAGAATCAATTGATTAGAAAAGACATAAAAATAAAAATGCTGCTCCTTGATACTGCTCTTCTTTGTTTTAGAATATGTAGTTATTCCTCAGATACATGTTGTTTGTGTTGACAGGCAGGCTTAGTGTTGTATTGCAATTAGTTACTAGTCATTACTCATTTCATTTTTACATTTTTTAGTATAGTGGCTAGCAATGGACTTCACTAATATAGACAGAAACTGCACTTTTCAGTGATTATATGAGTGTGCAGGGTCCACAAAGAAACAAATTTGAGAAGTCTCTGTTTACTCTGTGCCTCCTAAGACTGAATTTAATAGATACTTTGTTAATTTTCAGAAATACTGAAAGTGATCATAATTGCTTTGTTATTTTTCTTTGCCCAGGTGTACTACATGCCAGGAAACAGGTGCTTAGTAGAGTATAATAGGAATAATCAATTAGCTTAGAGGTAGATTGGAGCTCTGATAATGCATATTGTTTGGATTATAGTTGGGATCTGTATTGAATACATGACTGATCGTGTTAGACCCAGCATAGTACCCATGATACCATGTTTTGTTATTCTGTATAATTTCTTCGTTATTTCTTCTTTAGCTCACTTTATAAAATCATTGATAAAATTACTTTTTCACAATAATTCATAGAACTTGTGAGACTTATGTTTTATTATAGCTAATCCTCTGTTTTATATTTTTATACATGTGGCTTAATTTAGAAATGACTTGGGAAGACCATTATGGAAATAAGATCCTATTTTCACTTAACTGTGTTTTAAGTGCCTACTATATTATATGAAAAAATCCCTCACAAAGCATTGCCCCAACAGAATAAAAAACTTAAAATGGATTTGTAATTCTTTAGCTTTAATTTTCTATTTAAACTAAGAAGCTGGATTCACGTTTCACAAAACTGCCCTGTTTCTGCACAAATGGACTTGACAACTTTCTTATTGATTGCCCTTACTTCTGATCTTCCATTGATATGTTCACTTGGAAAAATGCTGGCTAAGTGCAGGGTGATTAAGAGTATGTACTGCTCTTAATCATACTAAGTTTGAGTTTGTTCCCTGCATCTATATTGGGCAGCTTCCAACTCCTGAAATTCCAGTTCCGGGCATCCAGCACCCTTTCTGGCCTGCAAGACACCTGTACTTGTGTGCACATACCTATACACTTATACATACATGTAACTAAATCAAATTGAATTTAAAAACAAAAGGGGATACAATATTGAGGAATACTGGCTGTTTCTAGTGTGAAACTGGGTAAAAATGGCTCTGAGCATTTCAGGGGATCAGTTCACTGGCCTAAATGCTTGCATCAAAACTCTAAAGTCAGTTTAGATAAATATGATAACATTAGGGAAACATTTAGATACATTCTTTCTCTCTCTTGATAGACTCCCGTGTCAGTAATTATACTTTTTAGTCCAGGGCTTATCCAAATGTGTCAGAAATATCACATTCATGTTACTATGCATCCCGAGTCAGGATACCTCAGATGTCTGGTTGTGGGAAGGAAAATGAATAAACCTGAATTTAAGTTTCTGTAGATGATGTACACCCAAATGGAGCAGCTGGAATAGTGGATACAGCTGCTCATCGCCAAGCTTTAAAGCAATTAACCTTTTCTCAGTATTGCTTCATCTTTTTGACCTAAGTATTTAAAACAATAAAACTTCAGGTGATGGTATTTCTTTTATAATATTTGTGAACATTAAAGGTATTTTTTAAAGCCAATCATACTAAGTGATTTGTTCTTATGGACTCTTGACACCTAAAGGAATCTTTAACTGAAATTTTCCAAGATATGCTTTGCTGAATCCAGAACAAACACATTACTTTTTCTATATAAACTTCACATAAAGCATGCATTTGAATATACTTGTATGGCATGTCAGGAGCATTTTCTTGATGGTTTTACTAGTTGAAGGTATAGTGTGGAAACAGAGCTCTCTCCTAGTTTTGACCCCTCCCAGTCTTGCTTTTTAGGTCTAAAAGGCACACATTCCTGAATAAGTCTTTGGATAGATTTACTCCCTGCCTGTTGCTAAAAGAAAAGGTTGAATATTTACATATTCAAACTAATGGTGTATTGGTATATATTGTACAAAAAAATCATTCTCATTAAAATTTGGATACCAAGTGATACCAAGATAGACCCCATGCATAGGAGGAGCTGCCCAACACAATAGGACTCCGTGTGTGTGTGTGTGTGTGTGTGTGTGTGTGTGTGTGTGTGTGTGTGTATTATTGTTTTGTTTCAGTATAGTAATTTTTTTTATCAGAGAAAGAACATTAAATGTATAGGTGGAGGGTAGAATGTGGGAAAAGATGGAGGAGAGAATATGATCAACATATATATTGCATTTATTTCTCAAATAATAAAAACATAAAATTAGAGGGCAAAGTGGAGCAAATTATTTGTCATTGCATTGGAAGTTGAAATACACAGGAATCCCTCTTTTTAGGATGTACACATCTCTTTTTTATAAAGTGAGATACTGAGATATTTTTATGTAGCATTTCTTTTGTTATACATGGGTGTCTATATTTTTAAGGAAGGAAATACTTGTATATAGTAATGTATTACTAGAATCTATGTGAAGTGTGTGTTTAATTTCTATTCAAGTCCTGTCATCACTATAACCCCTTGTTTAAGAAGAGTCTGGGAGGAGTTGATAAGCATTCCAGGAAGGGGCTCAGAACTCTGGCCCTTGACCTCACTTTTCCCATCGCCAATTTGCTCAGATACATCCCCACAGTGTGCAGATGCAAGGAGAGCCCTCAGAGGGGCATCACATGGGAAGTCATATAGTGTACTTGGGTCTTTTTGCTGCTTTGTCCTCTTCTCTTCAGCCCTTAAGGTTGGAGGGCGTCACCTAAGGAAGTCATTCTGTCATAACATGCTGGATGGCTTTCTAGAAGCCATCAGTTACCAGTTCAGGTAGCGAGAACATTAAGCCCTTGGGGAGACTGGAGCAGGAGGTAGTAACTCAAAAAACATTGCCACTGATGCTTAAGAAGAAAGATGGGAACCAATGAAACAGTGTACACAGTAAATATTTGAGGCACCCAACAGCAAGTGTGTTGTGTCATATTGCCTTGAGAAGGAATTTGTTTATTGGTAACAATGGTCCTCGGAAGGCTGCAGATTAATTGATACCCTGAAGTGATACAAGGATAGTTATCTAAAGTCTTAAGAAAAACTGTAACACTAGAAATAAAATGTGGATCCCAACATACATGTTGAACCACTACTTGTGTTGTCTCAGTCTGTCTATACATCACTTACCAAATTTTAAGTGTATATGTACCTTGTATATGGTCTTTGATACCATTTATCTCTTGACTTCCAAATTTATGAGAACAATTCTGGCCCCTCTAGAATTTTAGATTCATTCCACAGTTGTTAAGTTGAAACATCGCTTTGATGCTTTAACAGTCAAATATATATATATATATATCTTGTCTGTAATTCTTACAAATACTCTTTGATAAATTGATAAGGAAAAGGTACAATGACTTTGCTTTAAATGTTGGCACTTGCTGGAAGCAGGCTTCTTCCTTTCTCCTGTTTTATTCTGGGGAGGACAGAGAGGCAGAGCTGAAGAACGAAGATATAAAGAAGAGTAGAGGGACCCAGGAAAGCACTAGTTTCATCACTGGTGCCAATGGCCATGCATTTAAAAATCATATATGCTCAATTACAGATTACAGAGGAAGGCTCCACCGTTTCCTGTGTGGTAGAGCGAACAAGGGGAGCTTTGGATTATGTTCATGTTTTCTACACCATCTCACAGATCGAATCGGAAGGCATCAGTTACCTCGTTGATGATTTTGCTAATGCCAGTGGCACTATCACCTTCCTGCCTTGGCAGAGGTCTGAGGTAAACTCCATGGCCTGGGTTTCCCGGGCTGCTTCTGGGAAAGTGTTTCATCATCTCTTTATTCATTGATTAGTAATTCCTTGGTGTTTAAACATTGTAAACTATGTGGGAAATTAGGTGTATCTATTATTCTTTAAAACAGAACATAATTTAGCCTTTCTATGAGAGAAAGATTAAGAATTTTGAATGTTAGTTTTGTAAATTCTTTAATGCTAATACAATAAAATTAACATAGCTTGAGGATATATCACTCCAGATTTGTGTTATTAGGTATTTTATTTGCTTATATAGTTTGAAATATATGGCCAAGGTGAGCCTTGGACTTGTCATCCTCCTGCCTCAGCCTCCTGAGTACTGATATTGCAGATATGTATTGCCATTCCTGTTTAGACTACTATCACAAAATACTTTACACTGGGGAGTTCATAAACAGCTTTTTGCTGTTCACAGTTTGAAAACAGGGGATGCCCAAGGCAGGATGCCTGCAGATTCCGAGTCTGGGGAGATTCCTTCTCTGCTTCACACCTGTGGTACCAATTCACTATGTTATCTGGTAAAAGGAGTAAATGAGCCCCGCATGACCTTTTCATGAGGATACGGTCCCAATTCCATTCATCAAGTCTCCTTTAATACCCAGTTTTCTTCTAAAGTCTCCACTTCTAACACCATCACCCTGGGAACAAGATATTAACATTAAAATTTTGGGGTAACTCATTCAGCTTATTAAAGAAAATATTATTAAGGAATTAATACCTTTAAATCTCTTCTTACTTGTATATGTACCTTCAATGTGCAAGTATGTATAAATATAAGTAATGTTTACTGACAATTTCAGTCATATAGACGTTAGTTGGCTATTTTCCCCAAGTAGTGATTTCTACCATGCTTTTGCATTGGGCAGGTCCTGAATCTATATGTTCTTGATGAGGACATCCCTGAGCTTAGTGAGTATTTTCGGGTGACACTGGTTTCAGCTGTTCCAGGAGATGGAAAACTTGGTTCAACTCCCATCAGTGGTGCCAGTATAGATCCTGAGAAGGAAACCACAGACATCACCATCAAAGCTAGTGACCACCCTTATGGTAAACCAGTCTCTGTTGCAATAGTTGTTCTCTTCTCTCACCATACTTGATTTTATTAAGAACTACATATAAATGATTATGCATTATAACCCCCTAAAGGCCTCTTAATGCTAATGACTGTGTTGCTGTGTTGTAGGACATTGTTTATGAAAGAAAATGTAAAGATCAACTTCTGAGCTTACAAAATATATTCAGAAAGTATTGTAGGGTTATTTAAAGTGAAAAGTACTTTTATATGGTTATCAAAATTCCTATAGTTAGAATATTTATGGTGGTGTGTTAATCTTGAAGTAATTCAAAAACTTTGTAATATATGTCTTTCTAGGTTTCAAAAAGTGGAGTTTTCACTGTAGTAGTATGAACATTATACTAACAAGTGATAGTTTTAATTGGGAACTACCATGGATGTTGATTTTTTTTATTGACATGATATTTTGTGTATGAATGAAGGGTATGGCTAGGGCCTGGTTAAGGAAGCAGAGAATCTCTTATTCTGTTTTTAGAGTTAAATTTTAGAGAAAGTGTTTCAGGTTTTTAAAAGTATCAAAAGTATAGCTGTATGGATATGGATTCCAGAATTCAGAGACTTGTCAAATATGAGTAAATTTTTGAAATACATGTTTTTAAATTCCCATAGTGTTGCATAGAGGATTTTCCTCACTGAGCGGTGAGGACTTCATTTACCTGTGGGATTAAGGGCAAATAGTTAGAATATAGTTAGGGATCATGCTGTTTTTTGAGACAGGGTTTTTCTGTGTAGCTTTGGAGCCTATCCTGGCACTCGCTCTGGAGACCAGGCTGGCCTCCAACTCACAGAGATCCACCTGCCTCTGCCTCCCGAGTGCTGGGATTAAAGGTGTGTGCTACCAATGCCCGGCTGGGATCATGCTAGTTTAGTAAAGTGTGGTTGTAGTTTCTCCTCCAAGATACATGACTTCACTAGGCCTGGGTATTGTGGGTTCACAGTACCAGGCATGCTTTCCTTCTTGCTGAGGGGGCTCTTAAGTTCAATCACAGAGCTGTAGGTTACTACTAGGGTCTGCATGCCACTACTGCATTCTTAGAATTATTGTGCCACAGTGGTTGTTGGTGTAGTTCATAGATGTTACAGCTGGGTAGACTATTGGTTGTTTCCCTCATACATCCCTAATATTCAACATTATAGAGGCTTCAAAACAATTATAAGTGCAGCTTCTGCCATTTCTAGAAGACACCATTACATATTTTACTCACCAATACGACTGCCTAAACATGAGGTGAGCAAGGATGGCACCAGGAGATATGCTAACATAGACATGAAAAATCTCATGAGGCCTCAACTCTACAAAAAGAACTACCTGCAACTGAGGCATGCTGAGAGTGGGAGAAAAGTCTTCCCTAAGAAAGAGCATTCTGATTGGTTACTGAATACCAAATAGTCAGTGAGCTCTGAAAAAAAATACACAACACACACACACACACACACACACACACACACACACACACACACACACACACACACACGTATGTACATAACAACAATTAATGAAAAAAGAGGCCATGAATTTGAAAAAACAGCAAGGAGGGATATATGGGAGAGTTTGAAGGGAGGAAGGGGAAATGATGTAATTATACTATAATCTCAAAAGTAGAACAAATAATATTCTGCATCAAAGTATGTTAAGTAACTTAAAAAATCTTTTAGGTAAAGCTCAGGATTTTAGCCTGATGATACGAATGATTATACAAGATTGCTTCAGATGAGTAAGAAATTCTTCCACAGATGACTAAACCATCTCTTTTAGGCTTGCTGCAGTTCTCCACAGGGCCACCGCCTCAGCCTGAAGATACTGTGAGTCTGCCTGCTGGTAGTGTACCACACATCACTGTGCAGGAAGAGGATGGAGAGATCCGTTTACTAGTTGTCCGTGCACAGGGACTGCTTGGCAGGGTTACTGCAGAATTTAGAACAGTGTCCTTGACAGCATTTAGTCCAGAGGACTACGAGGTATGCAACTAAGACTTTGAGTTTTTATTTTATGTGTACAGCTGTTTTGTCAGCATGTGTGTCTGTGCCCCACGTTTATGCCATCCCCATCAAAACCAGACAAGAGCCTTGGGTCCCCTGAAACCAGAGTTACAGATAGTTGAGAGACAAAATGTGGGCCCTCGGGTTGAACAAGTACTCTTACCTCTGATCCCTTCCTTCAGCCTGTCACCATGCCATTTGGAGTTGCATTTGTATCACTGAATTTGAACAGCCATCCTGGAGGGCTGAAAGCATATTGCTTCATATAGGGAACCTATCAAACAAGACAAAAAGCACCAGTTGTTTTATGATCTTTTAAATTTGTCTTAGTTGACAGTTTATTGCATGGAACACGACATTGAGATAGTTACCATACTGTATGTTGTACTCATCCTAAGTTTCCCTGTGTAGCTTGTTATAATGGTTGGATACACTAAACATAGGATTCTTAACTATTTCAAACTCTCTAAGAAGGTCCACTAGATAAAATCAAAATTACAAAGATATTATGTGTACATGTTTTTTTCCAATTTTATCATTATTTTCCCCAAAGGAGAAGCAATATGGCATTTTAGTATGGTACTATGAATCTAGAAATGGACAGAACCAGGGTTTCTCTTGATCTCTTTAGGTGTGATTGTGGAGATTCATGTTTCCTACTCTTAATTTCTTAATCTATGAAATCATGATGTCTTCACTGAGCAGGATCACTCTGGAGATGAATGACAACATTCATTCATACAATGTACATGGCACAAATATAGTAACATTCAATTACCACTACCTGTTCATAAGGTTGACAACAGTATTTTAAGTAAGAAAATGGTTAGTATTTTTTCCTGGGAGTCCTTCTCAAGAAAGATATTCCATACTTCAATATTTATTGTTTCCCAGAGAATTCTTTTGTTTAAGCTTTCAGCGTTAGATTTTTTTTTTACCTTTTGAAATTTTATACAAAGAATAATTGTAATATGTTGGATAAATCTCATTTGTGTTTCAGAGTATTGCTGGCACAGTAGAATTTCAATCAGGAGAAAGATATAAATATATTTTTGTCAACATCACTGATAATTCCATTCCTGAACTGGAAAAATCTTTTAAAGTTGAGTTGTTAAACTTGGATGGAGGAGGTAAGACTAAAAAAACATAAATATCAACTATTTGCTTGTCTGCCCACCATGATGCCTCTAAACAGTGCCAGTTCAAAGGTTCCTTTTCATCACTCATAATACAGCTTCACTCGGTGCCAAAATTACAGCTACGGTTCACACTGACTATTTCCAAAACCACCAGGCTATTTAACTTCTTTTTGAGTTTTCTTAATGGGTTCCCTAGAAACATCTCCAGATATAATGCAGACATCTATCAGAGAAGTACAGATAATTATAGGGATGACAGTCTGTGTTCATTGACAGTCCTGTAATGTCTTACTTCTAAAGAAAACCTATTATCAAAGGACTTTTCAGTTAAAACTCAATGCATCGACAATATTTTCTGATGTAAAATGAAGCTGTTCATGATATTTTCTACTTATATAAGTTATTTTTATGTTTCTTTGTGGAAGTATTAATGTTTTTGTCAGGTTTGGTTAGGCTGTGATGGAATACTTGTAGTACATGAATACATAAATGTAGGAAAGGTAGTGTTTAGTGGACATTTTCCACTACAAAGTCTGGCTTTATCTCATTATTACCAACATCTCTATCATTTAATAAAGAAGTCACAGTATAAGAAGCTTTCAAGCTTAACGTCTAGGTAGGACAAATACCGTAGTATTGTCTTTTTGTATGAGTAAGATTTGGGGTAAGTAAGCAAATTTCCCCCTTCTTATGCTCCTTTACCTAAATAAAGACAAATGGGATCAAGCCAGTTCTTGAGAGCAGAGGACATACTCAATAAACAGGGCCTTATATTGGTGAATGAATAAAACAGGAAAAAGTACAATGAAAAGTTTCATGTAAAAACCACTACCTTTGCCTCTAGACACAGCTTCACATTGCCAGCCACATCAGCTTCTCATGCCAGCAGTTTCATCAATGACAACATCAACATGCACTATTTGAAGTCATTGTTTGTATCACTTAGCTCAAAGAGTACTTAGACAATAGAAAGAGGAAATGTTAGTGACTGTTACCAGTATTGGTAAATAATGAATCATCAAGGGCCAAGTAGGCTGTCCCATACCTTTAATCCCAGCACAGACAGATGATCTCTGTTTCAAAAAAAGATGATCAAAATTGTGCAGTTCTGGGGTCAATCCCAAGGCCCTGTGCGAATTAGGGAAGTGATTGACCATTGAACTGCATTCCATTTCTTGATCAGCAAATATAACATATTTATCACCATAGTGATACTTGTGAGTTTGTGTAGAAACATTCTTCAGATATTTAAGATATTCAATTGTATACTAACTGTAGTATACATTTGTAGTTTCCTAGTAAGAAGTAGTGATAGATAACTAAAATTTCATTTGTGAGTAAAGGAGATAAACTAAATTTTCAGTAGTGAGTTGAGGGTAAGAAGAAAGGTAGTCTAGACATTGACTGTCTTCTGCATTCATTGTTAGAGACTGTGTAATAAGTGCAGCAGTTTGCACAGTTACATTCTTTGTAAGTCAAGAGAGCACACTTTGTGCCATACTGCTTGGTCACTAAAGTTGATTGGTAATGCTAACCATGACATTAGTAGATATTTGATACTAATCAAGGTATATGTGGCATTGAACTTTACATTTCTTTCTTATGACTTCTAGACAGTGTGGGAGCAGTTATGAACTGTATAGTTGCTGGCAATCCATTCTGTCTCTGAGATGATTTTAGGCCATGGGTGTGCTATAAATTCTCATGCCTGGCATATTCCAGTCTCTGTTGAGGGAAGGACAAAAACCAAGACAGACCTTAACCTGGGCCTGTCAATCAAGGATATTGGTAAATGTGGCTTGCTTTTTTTTTTTTTTTTTTTTACTCTGGTTGTTCATTTTAGTCATTATTTCCCTACCTTTATCTGTTAATATCTTGAAAAATCATGATTGGAGTAAGATGTATTAGATATGAAAGTGTAACCACTTTATTCTTGTTATAGTTCTCCTATATTCTCCAGGCATTATATATTGTATGGGTATTATTTTAATATGTTTTTTAAGCTTTGCAACATTTACATAAAAGCCAGCACCTTTAGCAAGTGAGAAAGCTGAGATAACAAGGAAGTGAAGTGTTTTGTTGACCATTTACAACTTTATCTCTTATAGACAGGGTTAAAATAGAATTTTTCAACTGACAGTCTAAGACTCTTCCCACAATTCCAGTGTTAAATGGGCTGTAAAGTTTGAGAATGGTTAATGGCGTAGGGTTTGAATGTGTGGGTGGGGAAATGTATAGATAGATTTCCCTAGTTTTGAATTGGTTGTGATTGACAAGATGACCTTCACCAGCTTGTAAGTCTAAATATATGATTATATACACCAATAGTATCAACAATTTAAAAATGGTGTGGATTAAAATTCCTAGAAAGTGTGAAAATTTCTAAGTTATTTAATTTATTGGTCATGGAAACTGTCAGTTACTATTTATTTGGAGTGTTTCCTCAAACCAGAAAGATTTAGTAATTTTATATAATTTGTTGCATATCATCATTCAAAATAACCTATTCTGGAAGAATGTACATTCTTGAGTGACTATTAATGCATTTTCTTCTTTACTTGATACATTATAAGTACTCTTAATTTTTTCATTGTGTTGCTGTGCGTTGTGTGGACTGTCTTCGTGTGTCTTGTGAAGTGTCTGAACTCTTTAGGGTTGATGGCAGTGGTAGTGGAGAAGGGGACACGGATTTCTTCTTCTCGCCTGTTCACACACATGGTAAGCAGCTGTCCCAAGGTTCCTTGCTAGTATTTTCATTTTAGCTTCTCATTTCAGAGACAACAACACTAATAACTTACTGTCATCTTAGGCAACTCGATAATCCTTTGTGTTTTAACTCATTCACCAACATGGCAGCTTCATGAAGTATTTTCTCTTGGTGAGGGAGACAGAAATACATTTATTTTGTCTGCTTCTGATGCCCAGACACTCTTCAGCACATGGACCCAACAGGGTTTGCTGATTCCAAATAGAGAGAAACTTGGCTTGAATGCCATTAAAAATAAATTATTGTTGAAAACACTTTGCATGGCTTTGAAGGCCTGTAAACTGAACAATGGAACATTTGTTTTTTCAAGTTATATCCATTTCCCTTATTTTCTGTACAATAAGGAACGTGAGTCTTTATGTGTATCACTTGATCAAAACAAATGAGAAAAATTAAATCAAGTGAAAGTAAGTTCCTAGATAGTTGCCATTAAACAGAGATTTGTTTTGAATTCATGTACAATTCATATACAAATATGCTTCAGCTTTTTACCCTAGTTGTTTTCTCATATATGCAGAGAATATTTAGAATAAAGTGCCTTGTCATGGATTACACTTCTAGCCCTCAAATGCTCCCTATCCTAATGTCAGGTTTTGCATGTTGGCCCCAGAGTGCATGCTACTCACAATGCCCCCTTCGGTTCCAACATCCATCAGTATATCTGCCATGTCTGAGACTGTTGCGTTTAGGATTGTACATTTTCTTGTCTGCAGTCTGCAGGCATTGATAATAATAAAAACAACATGCTTATTAGGAGCATATTGAGTGAGCCTTTAGGCTTTAGAATTTTTCCACTATAGGCATAGATTGTTTGGGATCTAAGGAAGCTAATTTATAATAATAAGATTGAAAAGCAGGCTTAGAGTTGATGCACATTGGAAAACCAAGACTGCATTTGGATGCATTAAAGTCCTAGGGAAACTGCCGTCAGTGAGGTATGAGTTGCTTTCGCTCGTGTTCTTTCGAGGTCATCTGAGTCGTGGGAGACCTTCCTCATATGCTTTGTGTGGGAGAATGTCCTTTCTTACAGAAAGAAAAAGAAAAACAAATTTTCCCTATTCATCTCTCAGTGCTTAGGCAGCACTTGTTGCCAAAGCAGAGTAGTGTCATAAAAGCTCAAGGATGTGTGGCAACCATTCATGTCCACCTTTCTTTCTAAAACAAATTAGAATGTACTTCATGAATGGAAAGCTTTTTCATTTTTTCCCAAATAGTTGTTCATTGGCTTTTATGGTGGTTTGTAAAATACTGATTAACATTTTTTTTTTCTATTTGTGGGAATTTGCTCATGCAGCCAGTCTAGGAGTGGCTTCCCAGATTCTGGTGACAATCGCTGCCTCTGACCATGCTCATGGGGTGTTTGAATTCAGCCCTGAGTCACTCTTTGTCAGCGGAACGGAACCAGAGGATGGAGACAGTACTGTAGTATTAAATGTGAGTGCTTTCTGAGATCCCCCAATCTTAAAGCGATGTAGTATGCTTTTCCTTCCTTTCTTTCTTTTTTCTTTTTTCTGCATAGGTGGTTAAGAGTGAACTAATAGGTAACAGATGTGCAGATTGCTAATCAGTTAGTGTGTGGTTGCATTGACATGTAAATTCGTTTTGTGATTTTGAGGGTTCCTTACTTTTCAGAGAATATGATGTGTTATACTTGGACTGATAGAGGCAACTTGGGAATAAAAGAAAGCAGACAGGCATCTTAGGAAGCAGAATTATTCTTTAATCAGAACAACAGAAGGGGCTGCTCAGAGATATGAAAATGAGACTCCAGCATGTAGGAAGGGAAAGGTGTACTTGGTGATGGAAGAGTCATTCTTAGGTCTGTTCCCCAGAGTCTAGAGTGGTAGATACTGGTGGGTTTGGTGTGCCCAGAGCGTCTCAGTCCACCCTAGGCTTTTGTGTCACTGCCTTTCATGATGGACCTTTGTAATGTATAATTCTGTCTCACAGATTTTTTTGTGTTAGTTTAGGTAGACTGTGGCAACTAATGATTCAAAATCTCAGTGGCTTAGTACAAGAGAAAAAAAATGCCTCTGAGGCCTAGGGAGATAGCTGATTTAGTAAAGTCACTTACCACCAAGTCTGACAACCCGAGTTCAAACTGTGAACCTACATGGGGGTAGAAAGAAATGACTCCTGAAACACATCCTCTGTCCTCTACACCGTCACTGTGGCAACCACCCAACATACAAGCAAACTGACAGAGACAGACAGACAGACAACTGGGCTAGTTATTTTTAAAAGAATTTTTGCTCTTTCATTGTGTATATCCAACCTGAGTTGGCAAAAAGACTCTGATTCACTATTGCTTTAGGAGCCAAGGATTACTTACGTCCATAAAATCCATGGTTGGCGGATGTGAGTGTTGAGTAGAAGTGATTTATATCTGTAAGAGAATTGCATGACCATGTGGTTCTATGCCACCTCATATAGAAGAAAAGGAAATTCTGAGGATTTGTGAATAGTGAAATTAGCACTAATAATACTCAGTTTGCATCTGTCCTGAGTTCTAGCAGATTAGGGTTATATTGCTAACTGACTCAACAGACACCACAGCTCACTCAGCTTCCTCCCCTTTCATGAAATGATGAAGAAAGATATGCAATACATCCTTCTATACCCTTAATGACACATTTTTTTTGGTTTGTGTGAAATAATTGAATAAATCTGCTATGAAATTAATTGAATAACTTCAGAAAGAATAATTATTTATGACCAAAAATATGAAAAGTATCATACTTTAATGAAAGTATTGCTTCATTTTATTTGGAGTTGAAAATATTTTAAATACAAATAAAATTATGAATACAAGTTGGGATTTCTTTGAAAGAATTTTTTTGCAGATTTTTTTTGAGTTAGAAACATGATTGTTTTACATGACAATCCCAGTTCCCTTCTCCCTCCCGTCCTCCCCTACTACCCTCCCCCCAACTAAAACCCTACCTATCACATATCCTTTCTGCTTCCCCTGGATGGTGAGGCCTTCCATGGAGTGTCATCAGAGTCTATCGTATCTTTGGAAGAATTTTTAAGCTTTTCATTCTTAATATAGTGAAGCATTTCTTCTAAATGCATTTTGTTTTGCTTTGGGTCAAATTTATTGAAAATAACTTTTCTGAAAAATGTTACTGATCTATTCTTTACAGTATAGGCTGCTCCATCATTTTCAGTAAGTGTAAGGAATATCTTGTGTGTGCATAAATATAAGCTATTGTCAGCCACATTTGACTTATTGTTGATATGTATTATAGGTTGGCAGAAGATAACAGCTGTGTTCAACCTGAAAGTTGAACATTTTACATCTAGTTGTGTTTTTCTGCCACAGGCACTTTTTGAACACCCTCCATATGTAAGGTGTCTGAGGAGTTCAGGGTTAGGTAGTGGACAGTTCTTACCTTCAATGATCTTATAGTCTTGAGAACTTAGAAAATTAAAATAAAAGTTAAAAAACAAGTTAATGAAAACTTAAAATTCACTCTGGCACTATCATGCACTTAAACAAAATTAAGTCATTCTTATTCTTAAATATTTCCCAGGTTACGAGGACTCAGGGAGCTCTGTCACATGTGACTTTGCATTGGAATGTAGACTCTGACCTGGATGGGGATCTCGCCATCACCTCTGGCAACATCACGTTTGAGATTGGACAGAGAACTGCCTGCATCACTTTGGAGATATTGCCAGATGAAGAGCCAGAGCTAGACAAGGCACTTTCTGTGTTGATCCTCAACGTCTCCCGTGGCTCTTTGGGAGTCCTTACTAATGCCACATTGACAATTTTGGCCAGTGATGATCCTCACGGGGTGTTCATTTTCTCTAATAAATCTAGACCTATTAGTGTTCAAGAAGCAACCCATAATGTCACATTATCTATAATGAGGTTGAAAGGCCTCATGGGAGAAGTTGTAATCTCATATGCAACAATAGATGATATGAAAAAACCTCCTTTTTTCCCACCTAACTTAGCTAGAGCAAGTCAAGGAGGAGACTATATATCAGCATCTGGATTGGCTCTTTTCAGAGCTAATCAGACTGAGGCAACAATAACTATTTCAATCCTGGATGATGATGAACCAGAATGTTCAGAATCTGTGTTCATTGAACTAGTCAATTCTACGTTAGTAGAGCCAGTACAGGATCGCCCAAGTAAGTATCTGTTAGCATGGTGTTATTACTAGAGGTAAGACTATGAAAATGGAAAGCTTAAAGTTTTATATAACAGAAAATTCTTCAGGAATGGCAAGGTCAAAGGTAAGTAAAACTACCTTGAAACAATTTTCTTTATTTATGGTGTGTGTGTGTGTGTGTGTGTGTGTGTGTGTGTGTGTGTGCCTGAATGTGTGCATGTATACCACATGTGTTTAGATACCCAAGGTGGTCAGAATAGGGCAGTGCATCCCCTGGAACTTGAGTTGCAGGTGGTTGTGAGCTGCCCAATGGACCTCTAAAAAATTTTTTTTTTATATGTTGTGTGTGTGTGTGTGTGTGTGTGTGTGTGTGTGTGTGTGCCTGAATGTGTGCATGTATACCACATGTGTTTAGATACCCAAGGTGGTCAGAATAGGGCAGTGCATCCCCTGGAACTTGAGTTGCAGGTGGTTGTGAGCTGCCCAATGGGGGTGCAAGAGCAGCACAAGCAGCACATTGAGCTATCTCTTTAACTTCAAGTGTTATTTTTGAAGGCATTCCTCGTTAAAGGTTTTCTTTAAGACAACTGGAAATGGGGCATATATTTTTTTTCTTAAAAATCATACTGTAAAAAAGTAGTCATGTGCCCAAAGTACATGTTAAGAACTTCTGTGTGATGACTGTGTAACTGCCCCTAGTATTATCCTGTTGCTTCATTCTATTCTGCAATCAGTCTGAAGAGTCCGTATGTAGTTCTTGTGACAATGCTGTGAGCTTCTTTCACGTGGGTACACTTCTGACAAATTTCCTAATCAGCAAATGTGTGTAAGGTGAGGAGAAAGGGCTGTTCAACTGTAAGAACTGAGAATTGGTGGAATTACGAGGGATAGGATGTAAGGTTCCAAGACCTGCTTGTTATACTATATGCCACATGAATTAAGAATAATTACCAGTAAGTGTGCTCACCTTCCCTGGGTTAATATTGTATGAAGGTAACAACAGTCTTACTCATTATAGGTGAGGACTACAGAAGGAAATTTACAAATGCTAACATTAAGTCTTCAGGTTAAAATTTTTCACAAAATATCTCTGCTGTTCTTTTAAGATAGACTTAAGATCAGTTATAACAGCAAAGAAGTTGAAACAGAACTAAAAAATTAGTTTATTAAGGAAGGAATTATAAAGCACATATTGTTTTTCAAGTTGTTTATAGTTTATTGAAATTGAAATAAAACCCACAGGGATGATTACATTTAACAGTGGCATGGAGCTTGTTGAAGTCAGATACCTTTTTTCCAATGTATAATGATGAGTTATTGGGCATAGTCTTTGAAAACTTCATTTTCTGTATATAACTAGAAAAGAATAGAAATGCCAATTTTTCTTTATTCACTATCTATCTATATTTGGGGACTCCATGTGGTACTACATGTAAAGAGCAATACCATGTCTGCTGCATTGTCAGCATTCAGTAATGGAGACTATTATTAGAATGGCATATGCAGAGAACTGTGGCTCTGTGGGGATGGGAGAAGTAGTCAGCATATGTTTTATGGAATAATACAGAACATCTGTCAATGTAGGCTAAAGAGCAGAGCGCAAAACTGAGGGGAGGAGAGAGAGACTGACTCAGATTTTAATGACAAAAGCCTGTGTAAGGTCTGGCAAGTTTTTATTGAATATAGTTGTCACATTCTGTGAACGTGAGTGCTATGAAAAGACTATTAGAGTAGGGTGCCCACTTGTGGATAACTACAGGTATTACACATGGCTTGCTAAGTCTTTGGAGGAGGAAATGAACCTTTATAGTATGTGTCTTGGTTATGGGTTATGTCTGACAGGCACTAATATGAGATCTTAGGTAATTTCATTAACTCCTTTGTGGCTCTAAGTTCTTATCTGTAGAAATGTGTGTATGTGTCTGTGTAAATGCATGTATATATGCAATCCAAATATATCAATTATATATACAGATGTATCAAATAGATTGTGCTGGTTAGTTTTCTGTCTTTTTGATACAAGCCATAGTCATCAGGGAGGAGAGAACCTCAATTGAGAAAATGCCTCCAGAAGATCAGCTGCAAGACATTTTCTTTTTTTGTTTATTTTTATATTTTTGCCATTTGTTTTTAAATTTCATTTTACATTGCAGCCACAGTTCTTTATCCCATAACTCCTCCTGCCCCCTTGACTCCTCCCACCCATAATTTAGTAATTGATGGGGAGAGCCCAGCCCATTTTGGGTGGTGCCATCCCTGGACTGGTGGTTCTGGGTTCTATAAGAAAGCGGACGGAGCAAGCCATAAGGAACAATCCTATATGCAGAATTCCTCCATGGCTTTTCCATCAGCTCCTGCCTCCTGATCAGGTTCCTGCCTGGTTTGAATTTCTGCTTTAGCTTCCCTCAACAGACTGTGACTCGGTATATATGTAAGCCAAATAATCATCCCCAAGCTGTTTTTGGTTATGGTAGTAATCTTAACAATAGTAATCCTACCTGAGGCATATATGCAATTCACATATGTCAGGAGATGGATAGAAAAAAAGGGTGCACGTATTATTATTTGAATAAAGATTAATTGCTTAAAGAATGAAATTGTGTTTGTGACAAAATAGATGGAACTGAAAGATGCTATTATAAGTGGACTAAGCCATGTACAGAAAGATAAATATACTGCATATTCTTATGTGGAAGCTTCGAAAGTTTATTTCAAAGAAGATATCAGCACAGTGATTACTAAGTGCTAGGAAAAGCAAGAGAAGGGAGAGAAGACAGTTGGAAAGCAGGTATCCAAGTGCATGCAGTATGATGGCGAGAAGTCCCAGTGTCTGTCCACCTGACAGGTGAAGGCTGTCTGTAGCTAGATGAAGGCTCTGGGATGTACTATTTTCCTGTTCAATTTTGTGTTGGAATTCTGTTTTAGCACAGCAGATGCCTTAGTGTAATAGTATAATTCTATAGGGTTTAGAATCTGATTGATGTCATAAGCTGATGATTAATTACACTTGGATCATCAATGTCAGATGCTTACTAAAATATTCTTAATAGTCTAACTGTTATTTTGATGTTTATTCCTAGAATATGTGTTAAACACAGCAGAGATTTCCTATTAACTTTGTTTTTGTTTTTCTAGTGCCTAGATTAAGGCTGACAGGTATACATATTTAAACTTTTAAAAACATAAATAGTCCAGAGAATGCAGATTCTGTTGAATTCTTGGTGATGGTTAGTCAGGTCTTAGAAATGCATTGCCTCTATGTCTTTCAGTCCCGAATTCCCCACGGCTTGGGCCTAAGGTAGAAACCGTGGCCCATCTCATTATTGTTGCCAACGATGATGCGTTTGGAACTGTGCAGCTGTCAGCACCAGTAGTTCGTGTGGCAGAAAATCACATTGGACCCATTATCAATGTGACTCGAATGGGAGGAGCATTTGCAGACGTCTCTGTTAAGTTTAAAGCTGTGCCAATAACTGCAGCAGCTGGTAAGGAAGGACATAGAAGGGGACTGGTGTGTTTCAGAGTAGCACGGGTCTGTGTGTCAGTGAGCAACAGTGTCTCAAAGATGTGGTTAGAAGAAGAGAAGCACACACACACACACACACACACACACACACACACACACACTTTTCCTTTTCCTTAGATTGAGTTTAATGTAGCCAAAGCTATCTTCAAATTCACAATGTTGCTGAAGATGGCTTTGAACTTCTGATCCTCATCTGCAATGTTTGTGTAATAGGCAAGTGTCACCAAGCTGAGTTTATGCACTGCTGGAAATCAAATCCCTGTGCTTGTTAGGCAAGCATTCTACCAACTGAGCAACACCCACAGCTTCCAATACTTACACCGTTTTAGACACAACCATCCATCATTTATATATCTGTGACATTTTTGAGTTTGTGAAAATTGATAGTAAAAGTATATATACATTGAAAAGCTCTGATGAGCAAGAGGCATATAAACTAAGGAAGAACAAACTAAGACCCCATGACTTACTGTTTCTGAAAGGCAGTCATGTGCAGATAACTGCCAAGACACACAGGAAGAAGTGGGAAATAGCTTCCTGGGCTCTTCAGTTGACTTGTCTCTAGAGCCCATCATTGTACATCTTCATTTATTTATGAAGAGCATGGACAAGACAGTGTTTAGAATTAATGATCTTATGTATAAGGAAAGTAATTTCTTTGCTGAATAGAAAAGTCAGGCTACTGACTTTTTATAATTGCATCCCAGCTTACTGAGGGTGATTTGTCTAAGAGTGCCTGCTGGAGCCTTTCAAGTGCTCACTTACATTAGTAGGCATGTGAATGAGTGAGATTACATGCCTAATCTTTTAAAAAAATCATCTGGACATTACTATTGCTTGATAAATAACACACACCAGCACACACCAGCTTCATCTATTTCCCAAGGGTGTGTGTGTGTGTGTGTGTGGCACATGTTGTGGTAAGTGTCTCTCTGGAGTGTGTGGCTGCCTGTAGGCACACTCCTTTGTGACAGGGAGCAGTCATGAGTGCTGGAAGAAATTAGCCTGTAGGTGCTATAGGAGCACCACTCCTTTCCCTACCTGAAGCGGTCTCCAGCTGCTGATTTACCCTGCTTTGTGGGGAAGTCTCTTCAGCTGTGTTAGTGAGGCTGCTTCCCTGTAGCATCTGGACAACTGCAGCTTGTCTTTCCACTGAGATTGATTCTAGTTCTGTTTTGTTCTGATAGCACTATGCACATCTTTTAAAAAATTTAAATAGTCATTGCTTTCTCTTTATCTTCTTTTTATATGTTTTATACATACATTATGAATTTCACAGAAAAGGGTTATACTGAGGTGTGTGTGGACACATGTCTTCATGAAAGTGAAGGAATGAACATGAAAACACAGGAAGATGTCTATGATCAGACACATACTTTTAGTTTGGAAAGTGAAAGTTTCCTTTCTCAAATGAATGTAGTTAACATCCTCTGAAATCTCTCTCCAACTATGCCCATGAAGTTTGACATAGTATGTGGGATGCTTATTATAAAGTAAGCTTTGGCGTTTATCTTCACAGGTGAAGGTATGTAGAATGCTTATTCTGAAGTCAGCTTTCACATTTATCTTTCTGTCTTTGCAGGTGAAGATTATAGTATAGCTTCATCAGATGTGGTCTTATTGGAAGGGGAGATCAGTAAAGCTGTGCCAATATATATCATTAATGACATTTACCCTGAGCTGGAGGAATCGTTTCTTGTGCAACTGCTGAATGAGACAACAGGAGGAGCCAAACTGGGGATGTTAACAGAGGCAGTCATTGTTGTAGAGGCTTCTGATGACCCTTATGGATTGTTTGGTAACCAGACTAATTTTTAATTTGTTTCTCTCTCATTCTCTCTCTCTCTCTCTCTCTCTCTCTCTCTCTCTCTCTCTTTCTCCTCTTTCTCTCGCCTCTCTCTTCTTCTCTTCCTCTCTCTGTGTAGCTTTGGAGCCTATCCTGGCACTTGCTCTGGAGACCAGGCTGGCCTTGAACTCACAGAGATCCGCCTGCCTCTGCCTCCCGAGTGCTGGGATTAAAGGCGTGTGCCACCAACACCTGGCTTGTTTATCTCTTTTACTCTGTACGTCACTGATAATGACCTTTTTTATTTTTTTTAAATTTAAGATTGATTTGAGAGAGGTGTGTGTGTGTGTGTGTGTGTGTGTGTGTGTGTGTGTGTGTGTGTGTAAAGGAATCAATCACTTTTTGGCATAGAGACAGTCATAATCTGTTTGATTTTGTGTCATATCCGGCTCCCAGATGTGTTCTGTAAATTCTTTTTCTGGGCTTTTGGAGACAATGTCTTGCTACCTGTGATGATTGCTCTGTCCTGGAATTTGAGACTGTCCTTAACAGCTTCCTTAGTGCTGGGATGATAAGCATGGGCCATGCCAGGCTTTTACTTTGATATAATGCTTTCAAATAACTAATTAACAAAATTTACAGTCATGTTTGGGTTGCTTAACTTTCTGTATATGCAGGAAAAATGTTGAAATTGAGCCCCTTCTCCTGCGTGTTGTCAGACAGGAAGCAAAATAGCAATTACCTTTGTATTCCAGGCTGGCCCTGCCATAGCTGCAGCACTCAGTGGGTTTATTCTACCCATGTTGGCCAAAACCTGGCCCCTGTAGACATCCATGACCTGCTTTTATCACATCAAAAGGTGACTAGGAAATATTGAAAGTCCTGCCCACTTTGTATCACAGAACACTACCATAACTTCTTAGGGTGCCTAAAGGGAGAATTCCTATTCTCAGAGGTCCCAGCTTGGTCTTAGTTTGCCACAGTTCACTTTGTATCTAAAAACAACTGTTCTGTCTGCCCTTCAGGTTTTCTGAATACTAAATTTATTGTAGAGGAACCTGAGTTTAACTCAGTGAGGGTAAGCCTGCCAATAATTCGAAATTCTGGGACACTCGGCAATGTTACTGTTCAGTGGGTTGCCACCATTAATGGACAACTTGCCACTGGCGACCTGCGAGTTGTCTCAGGTAATGTGACCTTTGCCCCTGGTGAAACCATTCAAACCTTGTTGTTAGAGGTCCTGGCTGACGACGTTCCGGAGATTGAAGAGGTGAGAGGACTAACTAGTATAGAATAACATTTTAAATTGTGCCTTGTCTTATATAGTGACTAGAACAGATAACTGATGCTGAGGACTGAGCAATAGAGAACGATGCTGTAAATTGTGCCTTGTCTTACATAGTGACTAGAACAGATAACTGATGCTGTGAGAAAGACAAATATGTCTTTCTGTAGGGATTTCACAGAACACTCGTCTAAAGGTGTTTCTTACAAAACCAGAAGCAGGAACAGTGTAGAAATGCATGGTGCACCGGCCAGCTTGTCAGTTTAAGATTGTCTTTGTACGTGCATTGTATGTTTTAGAAAACTTTTGCTGAGTGATTATGTGTATATGTATATCATAATTATGTGATATTTGTTGCATATAATTCTGGCTTGTATCTCTGTTCCTATCTGAGTGTGAGCCAGTTGCAACTATGCAGATTTTGATTTTCTACACATTCACTCCTCCCATTCTTCTATTATTATAACAAGCATGCTGGGTCCATTTTTCCTGGTATTTGTCATGATGAACATGCAACATGAGAAATAAGAATAACTATTAATCATCAACATATTATCATAGATAATTTAATGAAATTCAAATATTACTAAAATCTAGATCTCATATTCATTTTAAGAACAGTTCCATTTAATAGCACATGAAGTCTATAACATTTATTTTATTGGCTAATTGTGCCATTATTCAATTTAAAAATAGTAACCATGCATTAATACATGTAATATATTTTCTTTCCTTCTTTAAAAACTTAGATGACTTCATGATTCTTTAAAGTTTTGTTGATAATTACCATTTAAGATATGGTGGGGGAAACCCAGAACAGATTTAGTTACCACCTAAATGAGAAAGTCATAGGTTATGAAAATCATATTATTACAATGGTAAGCAGGATTTAAAAACTGATTCCTATGAGTATCTTAGTAAATACTAGGTGATTTGAAATGGCTTTTATTTCTTATGTATTATTGTGCTCTTATTAAAAGTTGATTTGTATTATTTTGTTATTCTGAGTGTAATTGGGACAGTTTCTTTGGGGTCATTTTTTAAATGGTTTTATTTATTATTTATTATGTATAACTAATTAACTAATTATTTATTATGTATACAGTATTCTGCCTGCATGTATGTTTGTATGCCAGAAGAGGGCACCAGATCTTATTACAGATGGTTGTGAGCCACCATGTGGGTGCTGGGAATTGAACTCAGGGCCTCTGGAAGAGCATTTGGTGCTCTTAACTTCTGAGCCATCTCTCCAGCCCTCGTTGGGATCGTTTATACTTCATTGTATTTTGTTCTTATATCAATGTGTTTGATGTTTTCCTGCATCATTCACAGTTTGATTTTAGACCTGGGATGCTGTTAAGGAAGTTTTCACTTTGTTTTTAGGTTATCCAAGTGCAGCTAACTGATACATCTGGTGGAGGTACAATTGGGTTGGACCGAGTGGCAAATATTGTTATTCCTGCCAATGATAACCCTTATGGTTCAGTAGCTTTTGTTCAGTCGGTTTATCGTGTACAAGAGCCTCTGGAAAGAAGTTTCCACGCTAACGTAACCGTGAGAAGAAGGTACATGTAGAAGCTGCTGCTTCTGTGGGAGTGTGGGTGGGGGAAGGAGCCCGCTATGACTAAACAATTTAGATTCATATTTTCCACTGTAACATTCCGTACACTATTATGTCAGTTGGATTATGTGTACTGATAGACTTAATCATGTTTATTAGAAATACTATTAATGAAATAAAGATGGATTTTATACCATTGTGCTTTGTAGCAACCAAAATGTATTGCTTTATTATGTAGTATGTTCCAATTAGAACATGAAGACAGCTTGTTTTTAAACTCAGATGTTGCACGAAGAGTGTACTTTTAGGTTCTGTTTTTTTTTGTGTTTCCTTTGTAGAGAGCATAATGTTCACTGCTCTCCTTCAGAAATAGAACATAGAGGGTTGATGGACCAGCAGCAAAATAGTTACAATTCTCTAGTTTCATTTTGCTGTCATTGTTATTTTTTTTTCAGTGAAGTCTAATAGTCAAAGTTTTCTAATTATGTCTGGAAATTCTGAAATGGCTACAAGTTGCCTACCTTGCAAAATTTTCATAGCGTGATTAAAAGTAAGCATTATTTGTTTGAAAACTGGCCAGTATAGTTGACACTAGAAAGTAAAATGTTGAAAGAAAAGCAGTTTAGAGATATGGTTGTGTTAATACTAGTATTTAAAATCTTACCAAAAAAGCTTCTCAGAGTCATCCTGCATGCTGTTTTCCTCTGTGGGTAGCTCACAGACTAGTGCGTGCTTAACCTTTCCATTGTCCCCCACATTTCAGCGGAGGACACTTTGGACACCTGTTGTTGTTGTACGGTACCTCTGATATTGATGTAGTGGCTCTTGCAGTTGAGGAAGGTGAAGATGTGTTGTCCTACTATGAATCCCCAACTCAAGAGATGCCCGACCCACTCTGGAGAACTTGGGTGAATGTCTCTTCAGTGGAGGAGGCACAGGACACCTGTGCCACTCTGTGTCTCAAAGAACATGTTTGTTCAGCGTTTTCAATTGTCAGTGCTTCGGATGGTCCTCAGTGCTTTTGGATGACATCATGGGTCAGTCTCACTGTGAACAGCTCAGACTTCTGGACATACAAAAAGAACATGTCTAGAGTGGCCTCTCTTTTTAGTGACCAGGCAGTTGCTGGTAGTGACTATGAGCCAGTGACAAGGCAGTGGGCCCTAATGCTCGAAGGTGATGAGTTTGCAAATCTCACTGTTTCTATACTTCCTGATGATATTCCAGAGATGGACGAAAGTTTCCTAATTTCTCTCCTTGAAGTTCACCTCATGAACATCACAGACAGTTTTAAAAACCAGCCGACCATTGGGCAGCCAAATACTTCTGCAGTGGTCATAGCACTGAATGGTGATGCCTTTGGGGTGTTCGTTATGTACAGTGTTAGTCCCAATACCTCGGAAGATGGCTTATGTGTGGAATTGCAAGAGCAGCCACACAACTCTGTGGAGCTGGTGATCCACAGGACAGGAGGCAGCTTGGGGCAGGTGATGGTTGAATGGCGTGTTGTTGGTGGAACAGCTACTGAAGGTTTAGATTTTATAGGTGCTGGAGACATTCTCACTTTTGCGGAAGGTGAGTCACAATATAAATGGATTTCAGTGTTTCTTGGCAAAGTCATTCAAGTCAATATCATGCTTATGTTCATAAATATTTTCATGTACATTATTCATATACATATACAATGTGGTTTAGGAAACAATAGTGACTCAGCTTACAAATGATTACCCTAGCAGACATAGACTAACATGCCCTATATTTGTATGCTTTTAATTTTTTAAAGATGTTTAGGAAATATGTGAATGTTATCCCTTTGTGCCTGACGACAGTGGCTTTCATATGTCAGAGACAGGCTCTAATTTTATAAGGAAAGTTACAGGAATTAGCTGTGTACCTACAACCAAAAGTGTTTAAGAAGCAATGCTACCTGAGAATATAACTTTTTCAAATGTACTATATAAAGCACGATAGAACTTCAGTGAAAGATTTTAAGTATAAACAGTCTGAAGTTTGACAGTTGTAATTATTTTAAAATAATCATTGTCATAGATTTATTCACTACAGTATTCTTAAATTTGTACAAGAGTGCTGTGGAATTTTTTGAAAGTGAGGTATGAAATGCAGCCAAATGTAGATCATCTTCACTTAATCTTACCAATAGTTGATTTGTGACATTTAAAATTTGGTAAGTTCCTAGTTAAGCTTTTTATAGAAAAGGTAATTTTCCTAAGGGTGCTTTTTAAAATCCTGAGTTGAACACTGAGAGAGGAACCACAGTTTGTAAGAGTTTTTCCTTTCCCTTTTCCAATTGAAAAAGTTGCACACACTCATAAGACCCTTAGAATATGCACTAGATAAAAGTTTTAAGTTATCAGTAATTCTATGTCTCAGCAATTCACCGCTTCTGTTTACATTTTAGTGCACACACATTTTTGAAACTACTGACTATATGTGTAATAAACTTAAGACATCTAATAAACACTGCGTTTGAGAATACAATTCTAAAATGTCATAAACCTAGCTGGAAATGCAACGCAGTAAGTAGAATGTTTGCCTGGCATTCATGAAGCCTTGGTTTAATCCCTACCACCCCATAAACCATGTGTGGCAGTGTATGCCTATAATCCTAGCACTCAGCTGATAGAGTCAAGAGCAGGAGGGCCAGGGCTTTATTGCCATCTGCAGTGTGTACTGAGTATGAGGCAATGCTGGGCTCTATTAGATAGACTATCTCAAAAACCAAAGTGAAATAAAAATAAAACGCTAGAAAACATTTCTGTATTGGCCATTACTTATTTATTGAATTGGGGGTAGGAAAGTAGTAGGATGTTAGGTGGTAGGCTGGTAATTGGTGACATTTTCCTCTGTTTGAAAGTGAATGACAAAAATGCAGTAAGATTTGGGTAAAGGTAAAAAGTTAACACTAAATATTCTCATGTCTTAGATAAGTATAAAGGACCATATGATATGAAGCAGCACCAATATATAAATTATTATCACACTGAATTATAACTTCAGCTTTGCAGAAAATGCACTTTATTTTGTAGCTAACTTCGACTGTTAGGTTAATATGTAGTCTCAAACCAAGGTCCTTGGTTCAATGCTCAGGACCATGAGGGGAATATCCAAAAAGATAATGCGCCCTCTAGAGGTAATCTAGGCCCTGAAGTACTAATGAAAATGCCCTGGGATCTCTCCTTTTCCATCCTCTTTGCTGAACATGAGCAGGAACTAAACAGGATCTCATCCATGAGCAGCTAAGCAGGGCATGTTCCAGGCCGTCTTCTGGCACTTTCTCCACTAACGGAACACTGTGTCAAACACTTCACCCTTCTGAACTCTCCCTTTTTGTTGCATTTCTTCTTGACTCCAAGATTCCTCACAACATGCCCTACAAGCTAACATAAGATGCTGCCAACTCAGCCATCCACCTCCAACTCATGGCACTCTTGCTGGTGTCCTTGCTCAGACCTTGTCATTCCTCTGGGCCCAGTTTCACAACTGTTCCATATGTGCTGGTGTCCTTTGAGGGAGACATTGGGATGAATAAAACTATTCACAGTAATGGCACAATAAGGAAGAGATTACCATTTCCTTAAGGGAACTCCAAAACATGCCTTCAGCCCTCTTTCCCCAGGTACCTCATTGTTTTTGACAAAGACCAGGAAGTGTACTGTGATTCTTTGGAATAGCTTTCCCATTGGCTTTTCTACAACTCCAAGTCCTCCACAGTCTTTACAGATAAGAAAACAAGTAACTTAGCATACACACCATCTGCTATGGTGGTGACAATGCTACTCACAGCACTGGACTGCTATGATGAACACCTTCTTATTTACCTTCGAAAATTAAAGGTTATTTTTGGCCTTTCTGGTTTTTATTTTACTACTTTAACTATTAGTTCCATTAACTGTTCATAGGTGAAACCAAAAAGACAGCTATTTTGACAATTTTGGATGACTCTGAGCCCGAAGATGATGAAAATATCCTCGTGCGTTTGGTGCACACTGAAGGTGGAAGCAGAATTTTGCCCAGCTCTGACACTGTGACAGTGAACATCTTGGCTAATGACAATGTGGCGGGCATTGTCAGCTTTCTGACAGCTTCAAGATCTGTCATAGGTCATGAAGGTAGGTCCCTTTTGTTGAACACATTCTTTCATATTTCCACAGGTGTTATTTTCTGTCTTGCTTTTTGAGGCTTCTCCCCCCACCCTCTTTTGTTGAACTGTGTTTTTAATCTATGTTTTACTTAGTGTAGAAGACTGCCTGCTGTGCTTTGCTTGATTGTGGGTACAAACCTTAAACACACTGTGATCCAGCTCATCACTCCCCATAGCTAGGAGTGCTGTGAACCTCAGAGCTGGAATGCCAGTTTCTCATCTGCTAAATCATAAACAGGCCATACTCAAAGAGTTCTGTGGTAGCAGTAATTAAACTGTAAACTCTGAAGTGCTTAGTATAGCTTTGGCATATGTAGTGTGTATATTTCGGTACCTATTATTATTAAATAGTGGAACATTGAATTTTTGTGAAAATATTTATCATTTGCGAATATTTTAGCCTCAACTTTGTTTTATCTGTGTTTTATGAACACAGTGCCATACCAAAAAGCCTGGTATGGTGTTCAGTGTTTTAAACACAAGAATTTCCCTACATCCTTAGTATTCTGTGTCATAGAAGGCTAATTTTAATTTGATTCAGATATTACAATGATGGTATCTTTGAACAAACCTGCTTAGAAATTAATGAAACATCACAGGATGTACTTCACCATATAGTTTGAATCCTGCATTTGAAAATAATTCTACTTCAAAAACTTAAGACATGAAAATGACATGGATCATATATGTGGATCTCTTCAGAGGAAAGCACAAAGCTGGGGCATAGATTAAGTGACTTGACAGGGCCAAGGAGCTAGTTGGTAGCTAGCCTGGAAATCTAATGCATCCTAGTGTGCACCTACTGTCTGTCTCTACTGTACACTTCCAACTTTCGAGTTACTTTGCTGAACTTATCTAAACTTGTGAGCCATTTTCTGACACTCTTACATTTACTAATGGTTTAGAATTGGATCTTGTCACCCAGATAATGAGTAAAAGAAAGAATAAATTGTCATAAATCTACTGTAAAGACAAGTCACTATCAAAGTTATTTGTAGTGTAAGTTAAATGACACTGCAGGAATCCTTAGTAGTGGTGACAGGTTTATGGAATGTTATCAATGTGCCAGATCTACTCCCATTATTTCCTTACTTTAGCAACAGTCCTTTGGCACCTCATGTAGGATATCCCATACTATGAAATAAAGTAATAGCATTTGAGATCAGTGGTGGGACTTTACCTCCACAGCCCTGGAACCCAAAGCCAATGCTCCTTAGCAGGGAACTTCCTCAACAGAGACTGTTTTCCCTGGATTTGTATCTGCTACAGAGGCTGACAGTGTGGGAATTGGGAACATTTGAAGAGATTTTAGTACAGGATTACTAAATCTGAGTGCTGGCTGTTTGAAAGAAGGAAATTAGAAATAGATTTATTTCTTTGTTTATGAGACAAAGTCTTGCTATATAGCATTCTGTGGAACTCATTCTGTAGACCAGGTTGGCCTTAAATTCATAGGGATCCACCTGCTTCTGCTTCTTGAGTTCTGGTATTGAAGTCATGTGCTTCCGTACCCTTCTGGCTTTTTGTTTTGTTTTGAAACAAGATTTCTCTGTGTAACATCCCTGGCTGTCCTGGAACTCAATTTGTAGACTAGGCTGGCCTTGAACTCACAGAGATCTGCCTGCCTCTGCCTACCAAGTGCTGGGATTAAAGGCATGTGTCTGATCTAGGATTGTTTTCCAAAGAAGACACAAAGCTGGATGGGCAAGGAATGGTGGTGGATCTGGGAGGATCTGAAGGAAGGGGCAAATATAACCAGAGTTCAGTGTATAAAATTTTCAAAGATTTAATTAAAATTTATATTAAAGAGTACATAGACACCCACCATCCTCTTACAGTGTTTTTAATTGTAAGACAATTATGTCCTGCAAGCTTATTCTGTGAGTGCTTAAGTAGTGATAGGAATGATGGGTGGAAGATCCCTCAAGGAGCCAGGATCTGTTGGTGGCTACCATAGCATCTTAGAGTCTGCAGACCTCAGAACCTGATTCTTTTGGGCTGAAGAAATTTCACCTGAAAACCATATTGTAGTTATTTTGGTTCTGACAGGCACTTGTCTTCAACAAATACAATGAAGAGGAATTAGCAGTTAAAAACTAAGTTTAAATAGTAATTAAATCCAGTCTGAAAATCCTCACTCTGAATATGGTGTCCTAGACTCAAGGGCTTTTAAAAGGTAGGAAGTGCATTTTTTGCACTTTGTGAAATTATTAGTGTTTTTGAAGTAGTATCAGGTTTTGTGACTTTGAAAAATTTGCACAGTATGACTCTAGAAACCTTATCACTGGCACTACCCATGAAGCATGATGAAGCTGTAAAGCTCTCCCTGTACCCACAGTACAGATACACTCTAAATGAAGCTCTGACCTGCATAGAAGAGGGGCTCTAGGTGGTCGAGTTTGTGTTTGTTCTTATGGATTATGAACATGTAAAACATGTTCAGTCAATTGTGGCCCATTGTATGCTTTCAGTTATTCTTAACTCTTTGAAGTATTCTCTTCATAATCATCAATTCATATGTGTTAAACAAGAAAACAAAGACATAGTCTACTAAAGTAATGATGACGAAGTACTTTTGTATTAAAATAGTTAATATATGTTTAAAAATCTTTCTGGTATTTTTACCTTCTTAAAATTCCCAACTTTCCATAAATAATCCATCTTAATAAAATTTTGTGTTTAGATTTAACATTAAATTTTTATTTTATTTTATTTATGATTTTAAGTCTTTAAATGAATTGAGCCATGATATTTTATTTTAAGAAATTTATATTGGAAATAATGTTTTGCGGTCTAAAGCTATAGTTTAGTGTGTGCTTGCCTTACATCCATGAAGACTCTGGGTGTGGTTCTCCAGAAATGCCAAAAATAGAAATAAAGAGAAAGAAATGTGTGTTTAGATTGATTATGTTTAGAAGTTTAGAAATGTGGTTGTTTGAAAAAATTAGAACATGGTGTTTGTATTCTATTTCTACTCTTGTTTGAAAAGTGTTGGTAGATAACTAATATACACAAAAGTTGTTTTTTAAAATGACATTTTAAGTGAATATTTGAGGGTTTCAATTTTATTTTTGTGCTACAAGCTGCAAATAAGGATATGTTCTCAAAACCTTTTAAAATAATACTGATTCCTATTTCATCATGACTTCAGTGATGTTGATCATAGTGAATGGTAACTTGTATTTATCATTATTCAGAATTAGAAATTTGAGCATTATTTTAGCAAGCCACATAATCAGCATAACTCCAATAGCCTCCTTTGCTCTTTTAGCAATTTTAAAGAAATGACAGGTTTTTTTTTTTTGTTTTTTGTTTTTTGTTTTTTTGTTTTTTGAGACAGGGTTTCTCTGTGTAGCTTTGGAGCCTTTCCTGACACTTGCTCTGAAGACCAGGCTGGTCTCGAAATCACAGAGATCCACCTGCCTCTGCCTCCCGAGTGCTGGAATTAAAGGCGAGCGCCACCAACGCCCAGCCCTTTTCTTCAGTTTTGTAAAATGTTTCATGTTGATAAAAACCAAGAAAGGAAAACAGCTATTCAGTTATTAGGGAATGCTAATGTAACCATGGTCAAGCTACAGAGGGACAGTTTTGACACCTTTCCTTGTATTTCCTTTTACAAAACAAAACTTTGGTAGCATATGTAAGTTACAACCTAAATAAATGTGATTTTCAGGTATCTGAAAGCATTTTCATGCATGCATTGTGTAAAGTCACATTGTGTACTGGTGTAAGGAATTTGTGTCCTTTGGAGAAACAGAGGAAGGAATTTCCATGTGTCCTTACTGGTTTTGACTGTGGAGATGTATTGTTACAGAGCACTGGTGTTCTGGTGCAGGTTTTGGAGTGCTTACCATTTTCTTTCCCATTTCACCAGCTGCTTTCTGGACTTCTATAACATGGCTTGTATTTCCTGAGGTTCTACCCACAGAAAGTATTTGGGTGTAACATCTCTGTGCTAATGAGTAAGGGGCATGTAGAGAGCACCTAGAGATTTATAGCATAACAGCCTTGTTCTGTTCTTGGAAAAGGACCCAAATAGTTGCATGCTTGAGTTTCAGTTTTGTTGATTTGGAACACTAAGTTCATTTTCATCAAGTGGTTGTTAATCTCTATTTCTTACTTACAGGAGAAATTTTGCAGTTCCATGTGATCAGAACACCCCCTGGTCGAGGAAATGTCACTGTTGACTGGAAAATTGTTGGACAAAACCTAGAAGTCAATTTTGCTAACTTTACAGGCCAACTCTTCTTCTCTGAGGTAACACCACAAAGACAAGTTTTGCCATATATTTTTTAAAAGAAAATGCAGCATTTTGAGGAAAACAGAGTAGAAAATGAGCACCACCACACTGTATTTATCATCACTTTATCCACTTATACCTACCTTGTTTGTGTTCTTCCTTGATGTCTTTAGCTTTTGTCTTCATTTCTGCTGCTTTGATGTGGAGCCAAAGCCCGGTTGCTGTTACCTTGTGTACTGGGTTGGGCAACTAATGACTGGAACCCTGCAGGATTTTTGTTTTCTCATTTTTTATATCACTCCTGCAAAGATCTCTTAATGTTATTGCTTTCTAATATACATCAGTCATTGATTAAGATTTAAATTGTTGGTCTCAGTGGATAGAATCTCCAGTTTGTGTCCCCATGCTTTAAACCTGCTATATCATGAGTCAATGGTTTCTGTTTCATTAATATCAAAGACAATGTTTGGTTCAAATGAAGCTATGTTTGACTGCACAGCATAAGCGTTAGGCTAGTGAAAGCAGAAGATAGTTTATGTGCAGTAACAATACAAGCATGGTATTTCTCTCTGTTTTAGGGGACATTGAATAAAACCATATTTGTACATTTGTTGGATGACAATATTCCTGAGGAGAAAGAAGTTTACCATGTTGTTTTATATGATGTCAAGACTCAAGGTAATTTAGAAGTCATTTTTGAACTTTTCTTTGGTATTTTCATTTCAGAGAAGAAAGAAATGAGGTAGTTTCCATCAGTGTGTTTAACAAGTAGGTATGTGCCAACCTAAAGAAAGTTACCTTAGAGCCAACGTGGTGCTGTGCATCTGTGATCTTGGTGCTCAGAAGGCTGAGGCAGGAGGATTGTGGGGTTAGATTCACACTGTAGGTACCAGGCCAGCCAGAACTACTTTAAATATTACCTGTCCCACAGAAATGTTATATTGAAAAAAACTAGTAGGATGGCATGTAAACACTTACCTTTATGGACTAAAGAAACCTACTCTAAAAGTTTTGCTATATAGGGCTGGGAAGATGGTTCAGTGGATGAAGAACTGTGAAGACAGAGCTCTGATAAACAGAACCCAAAGCTACACATGGTTGTTCATATCTATAATCCCCTGCAGTCCTACAGCAGGGTGGGAGATGTACACAAGAGCATTCTTGGGAGCCCACTTGCTGGCCAGTCTGGCATACACAGTGACAAATAGCAAAAGACCTGTCCTATCCAAATAAGTAGAAGGAGAGTATGTACACCCTTGGTTTCTTACTGATGTCCACATTTTCACTGTCATCTCACACACACACACACACACTTACACAAACAAGTATAAAAATAATTTTAAGTATTTTGCTGCTGCTATGTAGTGGTTAGTTTTCTGAAACAAGGTCCTGCTATGTAGCCCAGACTGCCTCAACTTCATATAGTCCAAGTTATCTTCAAACTTATGATCTTTCTACTTTAGCCTAAGTAGGGCTGGGTGACATGTTGGATAGTTATTTGTTGAATAAAATATATTTCTAAAGATAAAAATTTCTGAGTTTGTTTTTCTGTAGAAAACCAAATTAGCTGGACAGTGGTGGCACATGCTTTTGATGCTAGCACTTGGGAGGCAGAGGCAGGTGGATCTGAGTTTGAGGCCAGCCTGGTCTACAGAATGAGTTCCAGGACAGGCTCCAAAGGTACAGAGAAACCCTGTCTTGAAAAACAACAACAACAACAAAAATAAAATAAAAAAGAAAGATAAAGCCATCTAGATTTTGTACCAATTACTATTTATGGATAATTTAAATTTGACCATTTTTTAGCAAATTGCTTGGGTAGGTTATTTCCTGTCTATTAGTTTCTATAATTCAGACAACCAATATAGTCAATAATGACAATAACATCTACACAGAAGAGTTCACAGTTTGTTGTGTGGAAGGTAAATGGGATGCAGGATGTTGTGGACCTGACGATTTCCAGGAGGGACACAAACAAGCACTTGCTCAGCAAACATGGAAGCATTTTAAGCATTGTGAAGTTTCTGAAAAGGTGCAGTTTGACTTCCTAATGGATTCCTCAATATATTTAGGAGTCTTGCCTGCGGGAGTCGCTCTGCTTGATGCCCAGGGATATGCAGCTGTCCTGACAGTAGAAGCCAGCGATGAACCACATGGTGTTTTAAACTTTGCTCTCTCCTCAAGATTTGTTTTGCTACAGGAGGCTAATGTGACAATTCAACTGTTCATCAACAGAGAGTTTGGGTCTCTAGGTTTGTACTACTCTGGAATAAGTGGTAAATGGGCTTTCTAGACAAGGGCCTTTAAAATTTTGTTTTATTTTCCAAATTCTGTTTTAAATCCATGAAGGAAAATGATGTTCAGGATAGTACTTTGTAACTTCTTTTCTTTTTTTATTTGAAAAAAATTATTTTTCATTTTATATACTAACCCCAGTTCCTCCTCCCTTCCCTTCTTCCCCTCCCCCTTTCCCACCCTTCATCTACTCTTCATAGGGTTAGTAAGGCCTTCCTTGGGCAGTCAACAAAGTCTGGCATACCAAGTTGAGGCAGGACCAAACCCTGCCCTCCCATCAAGGCTGCTAACATTTATTTTTACAAAAGTTAAAGGAATTATCTGTTTTCACAGAAATGCTATGTAACAAATAATGGTTCAGTCTCAGGGCAGATAGTAGTGGGCTGCTCAGGGGTCTGCCTACTAGGCTGGGCTTGACCTATGTGGCTGTTCTCTATGTTTTTCATCATCCTTTTGGGACAAGTAAAGACACAATAAAGCAAATGACAGTATGCCAGGCCCTTGTGATATAGACCTAAAATTACTACAACACCACTTTCACCCCGTACTGTTGGCAAAACAAGTCCCATAGCTCAACTGCAAGTCTAGAGGCAGGGCCCGGCATCTTGATGACAGTAGGCCATTTCTGTGTTTAACACATGTGAAGGTTGTACGCACGTGAAATAGTCAGGCACTGGGGACAGTGATGGGACTCACAACAAAAGGGACGTGTTCGAAATGGAAACATTTTCTTAAAAGTGCAGATAATCATAAAATCTTTTTTCCTTAACAAATTCCCTTAGGAGCTATCAATGTCACATATGCCACTGTTCCTGGAATAGTGAGTCTAAAAAATGAAACAGAAGGGAACCTAGCAGAGCCAGAGGTTGACTTTGTTCCAGTGATGGGATTTCTGGTTTTAGAAGAAGGGGAAACAACAGCAGCCATCAACATCACTATCCTTGAGGTGAACACTTACATTATTTCCATGATCTTATGTTAAGTCTAAATAATCATACAGAAAAATAGATATGGGTAGAATATACTGTATATAACACAAGCAGGAAAATGTGGTTAGAGATTTCTAGTAACTTTGCATTTAGAGGTAGCAATTTAACGATGACTAAGATTATATAGTACTTTTTACTTGTTAAATATTATTCTCTTTGATATTTAGAAATTTCTTTAAAACTTGAAAACTGTACAGTATTTCGAGATTTGAGAAACGATTTGGTTGGTTTCCCCTGCTGGTGGTTTTAAATAGGGATATTGCTTTCCCTGAGTTTTTTTCTTCTTCTTTCAGATCCTCCAGGAGTTTCCATTTGTGTTTAGAGCAGCCAGCCTGCTGGCATGTATTTTATTATAGAAACATTGTGTGATAGATGATTTCCTTAGGACCCTTTCCTATAAAGTGGTTCTGGCCTAAGAGGTTCAAAGGGAACATTGTTAGGTGTGAAAGGATTCCCTGAACCCAGACATTCATGTAGATCATAATCTTTGTAGGTAAGATTAGTTATATCAGAGAGAGTGGCAAACTCTCCAGAGGCAGATGACAGAAAACAAGGTTATGGTCAACCATAAACTCATCAGTGGTGACTGAATTGTCTCTGAAATGAGTTTCGAACAGTGAAATCTTGTGTTGTTTGGGGATTTGGGTTCAGCTATGTAAATGCACTTCTAGGAGCTTATGGAAAGAATACTGTAAACAGAAAGGGTAAAGATGGTGTACAGTACAGAAGTGAGAATGATGAAGTATTTGTAAATACATTTCTGTTATTTTGTATTTTCAAGTTCCATTTTAAAGCTTTTATTCTGTCAGGGGCTTTTTGTAGTTTTACAATATGATTAATAATATAAGCTACATACCCTGTGAGGTTAGTTGTTATTTCCTCTGCCCTGTGACCCACGGCAACACGAGAAAACTAAATCTAAGAACCAAAGGTACTGTCATGTCAGTATGTAACAGGGAAAGGATCTGACAAAACTCTAAACAATCATCATAAATGTCTGATCTGTTGGGTAACTAATTATACACTGTAAATATACTAAACTCACACACACACACACACACACACACACACACACACACACACGGACTTGCTACCTTGTTATGTGAGCTTTTAAAGTAGAAAAGAATGCCTCCCCTCTCCAAGTCTAGTTTTGTCAGCATGGATGCTTCTTCCTTGCACTGCATTTGCATTTTCTGTTTGGTCATTTTCAACCCTTGTTCTCAGAGCAGTGCAAGATTGGAACAGAGCAGGCCCAACATGCAGACTTGAACAACTGTGAGGTTTGGTAAGGGGCAGTTGTTGCTTATGTTTGCCTAGATACTCTGCCTATCTAGAGACGAACATTTTCAACTTCTCATTTTCTCACATGGAAACATGTCTCATATAAGTTGGAAAACATGTTGGTATGTACCTATTGATACCTGACAGGTTTACCTGACAGGTAAACACACACACACACACACACACACACACAAACACACACACACACACACGCATGCACGCACGCACACACGCACACACAAGTTTCTGTGTAAACTTTATAAATATCAGCAGCTGGATAGTCACTTCTGACATGGATTTTACTTGTCCTGTGTTTAATGTACCTTCTTTTTTTTCATTGTTAATTGTGGGACTATTGATTAATAATAACCACTATCACTTTCAAAGGATTCTTTGAAACTGACTATTCCACATATACTATTTTTGATTACTACTGGCAAACAATGCCAGTGTATTATTTCTCCACAGACAAACACGGTAGATTTGAGGCCTTGAAATGTAAACACCTCACCTCAAACTCTAGAGGTTGTCCCCAGCCTTCCCTTGCAAAGCTTACATTGCTTCCATGACATCACTCCATTTCTCATTCTGAATAGCAGGTATTAGGGAAATTGGACATCTTTTGCTTATGTTGTATTTAAAATAATTAGGTTCATATAGTTAGATATTTTGTTTGCTTATAAACTGGGTTTAAAGTGTTATAATATTGAGGTGGTTTCATATTGTTCAACCTAATAACTTACACATATAATATTAACACTGTTATTGTTACATTTTTAATTTAAATATTTTTCCTATGTATTTTCTATTGTGTATTTACTGTTTTTTATTTGCATTTGTATTATAATTTAAAAAACAGCTTGTGAGGAATAATTCCCTTAAAAATAACTCATTATATTTTTAATGATTGTAATTTTTGTAGGATGATATTCCAGAGTTAAAAGAATATTTCTTGGTGAATTTAACTCATGTTAATCTCATTATGGCTCCTCTAACTTCATTTCCTCCCAGACTAGGTAGGTGGCTCTCTTTTATAAGCCCTTTTACTAACTTCAAGTGAAATAAAGTGATTTTCAGTTTAAAATCAGAAGTGTTCTTGTGCTTGCTAACTTTAGCTATCTGTGAAAATACAATGAACATTTAGACTTATTCTTGTTTAGAGACTATCATTGCAATTGTGTAAAGCAGGATAAAGGCAATCATTATTGTGGTGCTCTTTGAAGTTTACAACTATGTTATAATCAAATCTGCAATCCACAGAGTAGTGGTATGTCTTTCAAATGCATTTTCTTTTAAAAATATGATGAGCTGTTGTCATAAGCTGTCCACTTTGTATTCTTTTAAGTTAAATGTGTATTTTATGTGTTCTTCCTCTTGCTTTTCTGACCTTTGATCTTTTTTCTTTTCATGCTTTTAGAAAACTTAATTCATTACAGACTGAAAGGTAAAACTTGAACCTTGGTAGAAACTTACTTAGACCCTTCAATAAGATATATCTCAGGTCCTGATGGAGAGTTTGTGATGGGTGCCGGGTGGTAGTGAGTAGCATTGAGTTTGGCCTGTCCCACTGCTCCAGCCAGGGTTTGTGGGATTACAGGACAGAGGGGAGGGAGCCCTGGATAAGGAGAAACAGCAAGAAGCTGGTGTAGTGACCAGAGGACTCATTTCCAAGGCTTATTGTAGCTACCTTGAAAATAGTAATGAGTTTTCTGCATGCCATTGGTTAATTGTTGGATAATTCCAATGACTAAGCTCTTTTGTCAAGTATTAGTACAAGATTGCTATTGGTCAGGCTAAGAGAACTAATAGCACTTGATTTTTCTGCAGCTCCTATTCAGTGCCAGTTTGAATAGAGCTCTTTCTGGTCTGGTCCTGATTCTAATTGTTTCATGTGTTAGTACTATCATTTCTTACATCCTGCATTTTACTTATGAGGCAGTGAAACTATGAGAATATTAGTAATATGCCCCAAATTACAACCAGGACATTAAAAAGCTGTTTTTTAATTTTAAGCTAAAAGTTTAATTTTAATAATATGTAAATTCATTTTCCTTTCAAAAATACTTTATTTTTGAGATTGTAATTTAATTTCAGCATTTCTCCCTTCCTTCCCTACCCCTAACCCTCCCAAATCCTCCTCCCTGCTTTCCTTCAAATTTACAGCTAATTGTTATTGCATTAATATATACATATGTATTTGCATATACATATCTATTCACAAATATAACATGTTGAATCCATATGATGTTACTTATATGTATGTTTTAGCAGTCTGCTGTGATTTTAGAATGTGTGGCTGGAATCTGGTAGTCCATAAATTCTGATTTTATAATGTGTCCTGAGCAGTATTGTTCTCTTCAGTCTAAAGACAATTAGTCTTCTTACTCCTTTCTACACCCAAGCAGCTATGATAATGTACTAAAGGGTAAAGTATGCCCACACATGCGCACACACATGCACGCACACACACACTCACATGCACATGCATACACACCAGGGGGAGAATTAATGTTTCAATATAGAAGAGTAGCTATTTGTAGCATACTGAACTGCATGGACAGAAATATAATATGGATAAAAGAACTGTATTTATTTCTGCCTTATTGAAGCCTTTCCCTAGTAGTCTGTATTAATAGTCCTCTCTTGTCAGTCTTTTATACATGTATTTTCCTGTGACCTTCCACCTTTCTCTTTCAAGTTTGTCTATCTGTTTTCTTGTCTTTTCTGCTCTTCCCACCTATACCACTTCTTCCCCTCCTAAAATACAATAGAGATGTAAACACTGTTTCATTTATTCTAAATGAACCAGTAACAACTGTAGCTTATAATGCCACACTGGTCTTAGCTGAATAGTTATACATCAGTAACTCTTGGTAATAAAAATATTTCTTTTCTAATGTCACCAGCATTTTTTTTAATTTCCTTAAATGCATTTTCACTACTTACAATAAAATACCTACACATGAAAATTCATATAACTTTATTCTTTAAATTCTCTGCCAGACAGTGGCTTTAAATAGAGTTTAAACAGCATTTATATTAACTTGTATACATTTAACACATCTCTGTTTTATCAGACTCAGAAGGCTTGACTGCACAGATTATCATTGATGCCAATGACGGTGCCCTAGGTGTAATGGAATGGCAGCATAGCAGGTAAACCCGAGACTGTGTAAGCGCCTTTCTTAATTCTGGATTCTTCACAGTTAGTAAACAGAGGTTATGAGAGAAAATAAATCTGTTCTCTTTATTCCAGATTTGAAGTGAATGAGACCCATGGAATTGTAACATTGGTAGCTCAGAGGAGCAAGGAGGCCCTTGGCCACGTTTCCTTGTTTATGTATGCCCAGAATCTAGAGGCTCTGATGGGCCTGGATTACATTTGCAGTCCACAGGTAGGGCTCTGCATAACTTATGGTGGTCATTTATAATCACTGTAATGATGTAGGTCTTGTGTGAATAAATAATCTTATTAACTATTGTGTAAGCTACTCCACAGTGAGAGCAGCAGAAGATTTCTATGCTATAGAGATCTCTCTGCAATAATAAGCAGTGGAATTAAGTTTTAATTCTATTACAAACATCACTCCAAATTTACTATTTTTTGCAGTATTTAATTCTGAAGAATACTAGATTATGTATTAAAAATGGTAATTGTTACATTCTCCCAAAGTGTATCTTATGCTCCTGGAAAATTTTCCCTCTACTCTTTCTTTGTTTTAATTTACCAAGATACTTCAAGCCCTGGAAATACTTTTCAAAAATCTTTGTCTCTTTATCCCCTTTATTCCTTAAGCAAATGTTTTCTCTCTTCTACTCTGTAACTTTTACTTGAACTGTTTTCAATTTAAATTTAAACAAAAAGAGATTGTGTAAAATTGTGTGTGTGTCTGTGTGTGTGTGTGTGTGTGTGTGTGTGTGTGTGTGTGTGTCCAGGAGGGTGCCAGAAGAAGGTGTCAGATCTCTGGAGCTAGAGTTTCAGGTATTTACAAACTGCATATAAATTCCTGGAGTTGGGTCTTCTGCAAGAACAGCAGGTACATTTAACTGCTGAGCCATCTCCCCAGCCCCCAAAATAGCTCATCTTCCAATATTACCAACCATATGACCTTGCTTTCTGATCATTTTGTGAAAACTCAGAGTGAATTTAGGTACATGGTCTGTTCTTTTATCTTTTGGACTAGATTCTTCATTTTGCTGATGGAGAAAGGTATAAACATGTGGATGTTGTGATTCTAGACGATGAAATTCCAGAAGGAGATGAAAAATTTCAGGTGATATTAACAAATCCTTCTCCTGGACTAGAGCTGGGAAGAAATACAATAGGTAATTAATCATTCCTTTCCCACAGTCTCCTTTTTCATGTCCTGGCTTCTGTAGTATGGAGGTAAATGGGATGAGCCTCTTCCTAGCCCCCAAACAAAAGCCCTCCAAGTTCAGCAGTTTGAAGTTCTCATGTCATTGGTAACGAGTCAAGCCTGTGTTATTGTGTATATGAAAACAGCGAGATCAAGGTGGGTTGACAGTAAAAGTAGTATTAAATGATTTTCTCAATTACTGTAATTTTATTTAATGTGTGAAAGTCTTTCAGAATTTGAGTTCTGCTCTGGTTTTGTGTCTGGCAATGAAAATCACTATGGTGATGGTCTTTCCAGTGTTCCTTCAGTGCTATGGGATTTGTGTACAGTAGTAGGTGCTGAAGTCTCAGACATGCCATGAGAGCTTTGGTCCTCTAGTTGGAACGGTTTGATATTGTTTCTAAAAATCACCCAACTTCACTGTCAGTTAGACACAGTGTTGAATACTCAACAAGGGCAAAACAATAACGAATTTTGTATAAGAAAACCTATTTATTTGTATACTTGCTATAAGTTTTTATTCTTTTAGAATTTCTCATACATTTACAATGAAGTATGATTGTATCCACCCAAATTTCCCCCTCCACTTCCCCTTGAATTTCTTCTCCTCCAACATGTCCCCCTCCCAAATTCCTGTTATCACCTTCTTCTTTTTCTTCCTTCTCCTTCTTGTCATAATTTTCCTCCTCTTCTTCCTCTTCCTTTTGCTAGTCTACCAAGTCCAATAGTGCTGTCAATATGTACTTGGGTCTGGGGCTTTCCACTAAACATGGGAAATCTACTAGTGGCTAAAGCCACAGAGAAGGCTGATTCTCCTCTCTAACATTTAATGATTTCCAATAGCTAGCATACAGTAGCAGCTTTGTTAGAACTTTGGCATTCAAATAGAAAGCTCTGGTGACAAGGGCCCTTAGAATTAACTCAGTAAAAAATTTAAACATGACATTACAGAGCGATCGTCTCCCAAATCCCAGAAGGCACTGAAATAGGTTAACAGATGTCACTACTGGTCTTTAAATGGACAAAACAGCAGTGTGGCTGAAACAGGGTCCCAGGCTAGCTTTGCACCACTTGCTTCTGTCTCTAGGGAAAACAAAGTGGGTCTTAACACAGGGATTATTAATCCAGTAGTTCACAGGCAGTTGGTCCACGCTGTAAAGGGTGGACACCCTAGCATCTACAACAACATTTTGTCTGGCTTGATTTTGAGTGAATCTTGTGCAGGTGACCCTAGCTTCTGTAAGTCAATAGATGCAACAGCCTTGGCATGATCTGAGACAACATTTCACAGTACTTCTCCCCTTGCTCTTATATTCTTTCTGTCTCCTAATCTATGATGTTCCCTGAACATTGGCAGGTGGGGAGGGGAAGGAGCTTTGGAAAAGAGGTCACATTTAGGGCCAGACACTCACAGCCTTGAAAAAACTTTTAAAAGTTACTTATAAATGAAAAGGTAGCTCATTTGCTGCCATGTTTGCCTAATTGCACAAGCCCTGGGTGTGATTTCCCAATGCCACATATACTGTGTGTGCTGGTACAGGCCTATAATCCCAAAACTCAGGGAGTAGAGACAGGAAGAGTTCAAGGCCATCCTTAGCTTACATATAAAGTGCAAGGCCAGTATAAGTTTCATGAGACTCTGTTTTTGAAAAGCAGTTAGTGTAAGTGGCTAGGGCAGAAGCTCTGTGGAGGAGCACCCTTAGGATTTGAGAGGCCTGTTGCTTATGGTCAGAGTTTGAACTAGATTTTTTCCAGGGTCCTGGCATCTTATTCTAGAGTTAAATAGAAGTCACACATATTGCAAAGTAGCAAGGAAGCTGCATTCAAAACCAAAGTGATAGAAAAGATCAGAATGCAGTGTTAAGATTGACATCAGGTTAAGTGAGTAAAAGTATCCATGGTTCTGTTTCCTGTTGGGGCTTCTGTTTATTCGGTTTAGGAGAAGCGAGAGTTTGGTTCCTAAGGGGCATAGTGAGAATAGCTTTCTTCTACTACAGATTAAGTCATGTAATCAATTTTCTATTGTGCATATTCCTTCTCATAATGTGTCTGGCTTCTATAATATTCATGACCATTGATACATAGGCATATGATAGTAAATAGGGCTTCTCTCTAAAAGTTCACTTCAGGACAAAACTTATTACACATATACCCAAGATCAGTTTAATCTATACTATCTGTAGCATGATAAATAAAAAATCCAGAGACTGATATTGGGGTTCAGCATCAATCTAACAGCCATGCACATAACAAGAAAGAACATAATCAGGCTCTATAATTCTAAAGCAGCTTGACAGAATTCTGTCTAGGACTCCATAGTTTGTCTTGCTTTGCTTTCTGTCTCTGTGGTAAAACATCTCAACCACAAGCAACTGGGGAAGGAAAGGATTTATTGCAGCTTGCAGTTGTAGTCTGTTATAAGGGAAAGTCAGGGCAAGCACTCAAAGCAGAAACCTGGAGCCAGACACTGAAGCAGAGGCCATAGAGGAGCTGTGTACTGCCTTGTTCCTCCCTTACTGCTTGGCTTGCTTTCCTATTCAACTCAGGGTCATATGCTCAGCGGTGGCACTGGCCATAGTGGCCTGAGGAAGTTATTAGTCATTAATTCAGAAAATGGGCGAGGTTGATGGGGGCACTCTCTCAACTGAAGTGCTTTTTTTCCAGGTGGCACGGGCTTGTGTCAGATAGCAAATATCTGACCAGAACAGGTTCCATGTCTGCTATCATGAGTGGAAGAAAGCAACATTGCTGGACACTGTTGAGCTTACTTAAGGCTTTAAATTCTAACTTTTAAATATTAAAATTTCTGTAAACACCGAGTCTTTTGATAATGGATAATTTCTTAAGCCAAGCCTACTTCATTGGCCTTTAAATGAAGTATGTCTAACCTTTCATAAAACATTAATAAATTCTTTGCCTATAAATATTTTTGTGCTGAGAACTGAACCCAGGGCCCTTATATGTGATACACAAGTGATTTACTACTTAGCTACAGCCCAAGGCCTCTTTTTTTTTTTTTTTTGCTCTGCAACATCCACCAAATCTTCCTGTGCTGGTCCTGGGCCCTCCCCATGTGTCCAGGGCCAGAGTGTAACCCTTCACGTGGGATGGGCTCTCAAAGTTCCTTCTTGCACCAGGGAAAAATACTAACCCACCACCAGAGGCTCCCTGGAGTTCGGAGGCCTCCTTATTGACATCCATGTTCAGGGGTCTGGATCAGTCCAAGGCCTCTTTTAACTTTACATTTTGAAATTGTCTCACTAAGTTGTCCAGACTGGCTTTGAGTCCACTTTGTAGTTTTAGTATGCTTTGAATTTAAAAATCTTCCTGCTTTAGCACCCTGCATATGAGTTAATGCCTCAACTCAAGACCAACTATAAATGTCTGCATTTGTAGACAGTTCTATTTGTGGACAATTCAGCTTTCTAGATTGAGTATAGCACTGTGTTGTACATGCACTTCAACATGTATATAAAAGCTGTGGCTTCTTTATGTCCTTGCCAGCAATCTCTTCACTCCTTTAAGGTTATCACCAATTCTAGTGAAAAGCCTGTGGTATATGGCATTCTTTAGTATTTGTTTTGTTACATTTTTCTTTTATCAGTGGGTTTGACACTGTCTGTTCTTATTTACGTAGTATTCTTTTTTATGACCCTATGCATGTCTGTATATATTTATTCTGTTATATGTAGGAATATTCTTCTGTTTTGAATCCTGTGTTTCAGTTCTTTTGTGGGAGTGGGGCTCCAAGCTTTGACACTCCCTCTGGGGATCTGGGATGGAAACTGTGAGGGAGATTCTCTGTGTTCTGGGAGCTGAGTGGAGGCAGAGATTTCCCCGTATCTGAAGGCCTCTGTCTTCCTTTCTGCTTCTTACTGGTGTGGCTGGTCCAAGGTTCCATACTCCTCACAAGCTATATTGACTGCAAGGTCTACCACCATATTACTGGATCCAAATTCCTTGTCAGTGCAGCAAATAGAGCTTGTCAGAATGTTCATTGAGGGCAAAGCTACCACAATCAAGGGTAGAAGACCTAGTGTCACTGTTAATGTTGCAGGAGACAACCTGATCCTCAGTATAGCCCAGGATGGCCACTAGGGACCCTGTGGCTCCTGTTATATAACTTTGTTGATGTCAATTTATCTGGCAGCTGGTCACATTCACAATAGATACACTGAGTGTAGGAACACAGAAAGCCATTCTAGTGAATGTTCCATTCAGGTCTGGGATGTCCTTGCCTACATCCTGGGGTTTCTGGACTAGTATCCTGGGCAGACCTACAGCCACCATACTACAGTTTTCCTGAGATGTCATCCACAGTCTTTTGGGTGGCAGTGATGGCACAAATTGTGGAAATTAGTTCCTTCATGGTGCTGAAGTTGTCTTGGAAAGGGATAGAGGTACTTGAGTAAACTTTCCAATTTCTCATGGCCATGTCCATCACAAACATGTGAAAGTAGGAGGGCAGAGGTGATGACTGTTTTGGCTTCACCCTTCTAGTGGGCCCCAGCCTTCTCCATGGTTTTGAGGACACCAATAGTTTCTACTACACATTCTGCATGGTGTCACCCTATCTGATATTGATGGGATCTTGCTTCTGCAAGATGGAGATGAAAGCTTCCTGTTCTCAGGTTGACTGCTGAACATGGTTTCAGTGGAATCACACTGGATCATGTAGTTGAGTTCAATGAATAGGTCATTAATGGCAACAGTATTCACTTTACTAGATTTGAAGTCGGTTATGGTGACCAGGAAGCCTGCATGCTGAACCCATTCACTCCAGCCTTCAACATCTTGTCTCAGGGATGAACCTGGCACTGCCTGAAAAGATGCAACTACTCTGGAGTCAGGAAGAGTAGAGAGGGTCAGTTATTAGACATTTTATAAATAATCTTCTGAGGCTTACCCCCCACCCCATCCACCCTCCACTCCCCAGGCAGGTTAGAGCCCCCAACCGGGGCTCTACCA